TATGGAACAGGCGCGGACCCTGATCTCGTACGAATGAGTGAACACTAGCCAGCAAGCTGCGCGAGAATGCTTGCCATCCTTCTCCCATCTAATTAAAACAATTAAATCGCGCATACATGTATTAAACGGATTGTGGTTACCTCTTGATGGCAAGAGCAAGATCCTCCTCCCTCAAACTCCAGCCACACAATTGCAGGGCTAGTTGTCTCTGCTCCAATTTATTCGTAGATACAGTGGGCTTCCAGGACGTCTTATCGATTTCCCTTCGTGTACACAGATCGGCTATGGCAGATTGGAAATCACTTTGAACTACAATTTCTGAGCCGTAAGTTTGTTTCTCAGATAGTCCAGTTAGAACCGACAGCAGCGAAGACTGGCTGTTCTCCAGCCCGAGTCTAGATGGTGACGTGTGGAAAGAGGTGAATGTAGGGGCAGAAACGGAGACCTGGTGCTGTGGAACGGGAGGGAAACCTTCCCAGATACCAAGAAGACCTTGGTGAGAGAACTCGTAACCATGAAGTCTTGACGTTGGGGTGGACAAAATGTCGCGGGAATCTGCACAGACGTTATTAATTTATGCAAAGTTCATGTGATACTATATAACTGCTCCACTTACGATTCATCCAGGCCCACAAATCTGACAACGTTGCATCCATCAAGCTATCCTCTCGGGTGACCGTAAAATTGTGATGGGACTATAAATCAGTTCACGATCAGAACCAACCATACAAACTTTGACTTGGAGAGAGGTTATTTACATTGGCTATACCGTACCCTCGTATAGTCCTACGCCGCATAGTCATCGAGATATCATCTTCGATAATATGTTGAACGTTCCTCGAACTCATCTTCCTTGCTTTCGATGTGCTTTTGTCTCCATGCACGCGATGGTTCTTTGCTCTCATACCCTCCCCATCTTTGCTGAGAGCCACCTCGCCATTAGTAATCAGTCGCTGGTCACCCGGCCCTGCCGCCCGCGAAGCAGGCTTAAGTTCATTCCCATCGCCTGCAGTACCAGCTTCCAGTTGATAGCGTCGAATAGATGCAGGGCTGTACGTTCGAGTCTTTATAGGTCTGGAGGATGAGATCTTATTAGAGCCTGTGATAAGCGCAGGGAATCCATCTTCATCTCCACGACCAAACGTGGCCCTCAAAGTGCGTCCTCGGAAACTAGATTCCTCATTCAGAGGTGCCTCAGACAACGTACCAGTCTCGCCACTAAATCCAAATTGTCGCTGAGTTGCTACAGGTATATCCCATGGTTCTGGAGGAGCCTCGGTCTCGTGGGATCCAGCGATAACTTTACATGATAAGCCGGCACCGATCAGTAGTTCTCCCCGAGAACTCCATGCTATCTGCTTGGGTGTATCGTGTACAGCGTAAAGCTCGAGGTCGCCATCTCTGTTTATTACCATGACATTGGATGTCAAAGCATGCGTTTGTGGGCTCGGTACAAGCGAAAACGAGGCGAGTGGTCGACTGAAATATTTGGCTTGAAGCAATAAATTGAGCATCGTACTTTGGCAAATAAAAATAGAGAAATGAAACTTACTTTTGCGCGTATCGGAAAGTACGACAGTGGACGACTCGTGTGATTCAGAAACAGATTGCCTGCCGCCGCCACCATATCCCGCCGCAGACCAAGGCAAATTTGCCCATGACCTTCTGACCATCCTCGATGTTGACGAGTCTCTCGAACGCTCTCCGTCCGACGACCCAGAACCTTCGACAGGTCGTGCATGCTTCAAGTCCCAAAACCGCACATAAGAGGCATCGCGCTCTAGCACGGCCAAAGTCCCACTTCTATGCCTCGAAAATTCAATCTGATGAACAGTCCCCGTCGACCGACGTGCCCCACCATCCGCGCCAGCATCTTTCTCAGTAAATGTAAGCAACGGGTGTGGAAACTTCCGCACATCCCATACACTAACGATACCGTCACCATAGCTAGCAATCTGGTGCGGATTGAGCGGGTCTGTGGCTATGCCGTGCACTCGGCTAGCTATGTGGGCTTTGACGGGTGTTGAGTCACGAAGATCGTAGAAACGTAACCATCTTGCAGACGTGCCCGCGAGAAGCAAGTTTGTTGAATGTGGGAGAAAGGCAACGGCAGATACGACTTCTGCGCCAGCAAGTTGCTGTAGTACGCGAGAATCTGTCCGAGGAGCGACATCGGTCTTAGGGATACGAGGAAATAAAGGCGAAACGCCGTTGCTGTCAGGCACTGCGAGAGAAGGCAGGACGACCGATGATGAGGTGGTTTGGGGTGTAGGCAGAGATAAAGCAGGAGTGGAATTGCTGATGTCCCAAATAACGAGACTGGAGTCTCCACGAACTTTATCTAGTCCAACAGCGAGGTAATTTGGATCTGCTTCACAGAAAGCTAAGGCATTGCAAGGCCTGGAGTTGCGTACAGGAAGTGACACCGCAGGTCCTTTCGAGAGAACGTTATTGCGGGCATATTTAGTCGCCTCGAGACGCAGGAGATCCACACGGCCTGTGGTGAGTCCAATGGCAAAAAGATCATCAAAGGCAGGGTCAGGAGACCATGCAAAGCACTGTCGTGAGCCATTTGATTGTGTGATTACCAATGACAATGTCTAGGATGCGTACCTTCATAAACTGCAAATCGTGCTGGGATGTGACATGTTTAATTTCTGGATTTCCTGGAGCCCATTCGTAGAGAGTCATTTGAGACCCGCCACCAACGACGAATTTATTATTCTGGCGAGGGTGCCATAGCAAGCGTTTTTCTGGTGTTGCGGGCCCGACCATGGTAGTTCAATTAAAATTACCTAGAGAATGGCGAGTATAAGGAAACCAGAGGATGGTGATATAGTATCTTATCAGAGGAAGCAGATATTCATGGCTCAGCTATATCCATAGGCAATGGATATGGATAAGAGAAATGAGCTGCAGAGATATGCGCAAAGGGTACGGAGTCCAGCAAAATCAAACTGGTCCGGATCCTCTTCCGGACAGCAAAGCATCGCTGCCCAATTAGCTTGAACCAGTTTGCCAAAATGAAATCCTGCCCTAAACTGGGCCGCGACGCGTCTGTGGCCATTCCGCCCTTTCTTTATCGACCACTCGCACTATCCTCGCGATGGAGAACCCTCATGCAGAGCGTCAGGCCGTGTTGCTCGAGCGGATTCTTAAGAATGCAGTGTGTATAGACTCCAGCTCGATATATGACCATAATGATGACCAACCTAGTCCGTTTGCACAGAAATGATCGTCGAGCTTAACCATTGTGTGGAGGTACTCGCGTATTGTCAGATATCGCATATATGGGCGCAACTAAAATATAATGCATATCAAATTCTTAGGAGATTCTCAGAGCCAACTCTTCTGTCAAGATTGCTGCCGATTTGGCGAGCAAGTATCGCAAGAATGTCCAGTATAATCTCGAGGCAACTAGACAGGACTCTTCTTGATAGTCTCTTCCACTAGTAAGCATCGCTCTTTCGCACAGATTATATCGTAAATGCATTTCTCATAGTTTCCCCAGAGGATGTCGCATTCATTCGTCTTCTCCAGAGCGGCCCAGGTCGAAAAGATAACAGGTTGCGCCAGATTACCTTACCTATGTTTCCATCACACTGGCAGCCACAAACAAGACAAGACACACCCGTCGTCTTGATGGTAGACGTCTCTAGAAGAACATAGTACTATATTGCGCGTATAGTCTGCCGTTGTGTAGATCAGAAATCCATGTATCTCACTGCTTTGCGCGGATGACCATTCCAACCCGAGTAGACTGACACAGTCAGCCAGCTAATACTAATTGATATTTCAGCTCCTCTAAACTTGACATATCGGGATAGTCTAGTAGCTAAGTAAGTCGTCATCCAATGGACACTATCAGTCACTGATGTCAGCATGTAGTCGTTAAGGAACCAAGGAGTCACCGGATCTGGCATGCCTAGAACTTGCTTGCGATAATCCTCGCGGGACATACGGACAAGCCGATGAGGCAAAGGCGTGATGTCGTGTTAGCACGAACTATTTGCTTCCTTTGGTCAAATTAGGGACTTACACTGGAAAAATTCCTGGTTGCGGATACTCCAAGTTGGTGTGCTTGAAGATGTAGAACCGCACGAAGTATCCAGACCTGCGGATAGCCAAAAGGCCAGCCTATGTTGCCACCATACCAATCTCATTCTTCTACACTACAGTAACATGTCTTATCTTGCCACACGGCGTTCAATCATATAACCTGTAATATCACGCAGTTACCTATGAAGGAAACTTCACATGGTTTTGCTGTACAGGCTCTTACCTTCTTCGCGTGAAAGGTTCGGTCAAGCTAAACATATTTAAGGCGTACTCTGCATTGGACAATCGACACCCACTTCATCAAACAATCAACACCATATTTTTTACATCATGTCCCAACCAATCGTTTTATACGATATTCCGACCCAAGCGCCAGGAAAAGCACTATCTGGAAACGTATTGAAAGCAAGGTGAGCTTCCCAGTTAATCTTGTCGTTTCTATCCAGTGAACACGTCTGACTCACACGTTCGCTATCGTAGGTACACGCTTGCCTACAAAGGCTTGGCCTTCAAATCCATCTGGGTTGAAGCACAGGATATCGAAGAGCGGATGAAGGCCATCGGAGCCAAACCCACCGGGCACAAACCTGACGGAAGCGGTTTCTACACTGTCCCTACTATCCAGGACCCTTCCACGGGTGCCGTTGTCTCCGACTCTTTCGCCATCGCAGAATATCTCGAGGAGACATATCCATCCAAACCCACCGTCTTCCCCTCCAATGCCAAAGCCCTCATCAGCGTCTTTGAATCTGCTTTCATAAACGCCACAGGCCCTATATTCCCGACACTGGTCATCTTAGTCGGCTCCAAGTTTTATCCCAAAAACGAGGAGTATTTTAGGAAGCAGGCTGAAGAGAGGTTTGGCACCAAGTGGGAGGATATTTCACCCGTAGGCCGAAAACGAGAGGAGGGCTGGAAAAATACTAAGGCTGCTCTTGGGGTCATTGATGGGTGGTATTCAAAGAGCGGTGGTAAATGGATTATGGGAGATACGTTCTCATATGCCGATATCATTGTAGGTGCATGGATGAGAAGCTTCAGTGTTGTCTTTGATAAGGATCAGTGGGAGGAGCTGAAGTCTTGGCATGGCGGACGCTGGAGTGGCATAGTTGAAGAGATTAACAAGTACGCCATTCTGGACTAACAGACCTGTGAAGAACAGCCATGTCTACATTACCTTACATCTGCACAATGTACCATAGTGTTTACACGCTCAAATCGACTCCGCCATCATGATACCGACAGCTGCGTGCTTGGTTTAATCCCAGTCTCGAGTTTTCCGTATGGATTGCAGGGACATGCCTGGTGCCTTTATTCACGCTGAAGTACTAGTTTTCGTGGTTGCATAATACCCACAACAGATGAGTTTGGAAAGCAGGACACTCAAGCCTTCGGTTAGGAACTAATTTCCTATTTTTGGTATGCAGGACCTCGAACACCAGTAAACGTTCGACGTCAGCCTGAGTAAAAACAATCTGCACAAACCTCATTCTCTGCCAAGAATATCAGATCCCCCCGGTGGTACTTTGAAAGTGCAACGAGTATCGGCAAGTTGAGAAATACTATTCTTGTGAATGTTTGACATGATCGTCAGTCTTTCGATACCTTTCCTCTCACACCCTGCCCATCCCAAGTGTGGGATGAGCCAGCACGAGGTCGAGATGGCTGAAGAGCAAAGTGTTTATTAACGTCATAATTTAATATCCGAATATCCGATGCTTGACATGATCCACTGGTGTGTTATCGTAGTCCATTAACCGAGGGCCTTGAGTGCCCCGCTTTCCATATAATAGCAGTTTTGGCGTGGCACTTTTCCGCAGATCGACCACGCGTTAACACCAGCAGTGGATCATGGCGTCGAGCATCAGAGATTCGGATATTGAATTATGATACTAAACACTTGCTGTTCAGTCACGCATCCCATCTCCCTTTGACGGACCTCGTGCTCGCAGTCAAAGGCTCATCTCATACTTAGTGACAGGTTCAAGAGAAACAGGCCTCAAATTATTTTTTCTTTCATTGGGGTATGGATATGGGGTTGCAAGAGGCGTGCTCCGCCTCATGCAAGGAGTGGCAGTGTCACATCTCTCTTCATGAGGTATCACAATAGATTAAGTGTACGGTTGCAGGCTGGCTGCGTACTAGCAGCTTTTAAATGTCGACTCGGACGTTCTATGACACTTGTTGTCGTAGCTCCCCCTAGTGTTCTCTGCGCTATCTCGAATCAAGTGTGGATTCCCTCAAGTTTTATATCGGTGAGAGTCAACAATCCTGCAATCGAACATCAACGCTCAGTGTTTTCTCATGAATATAGAAACAGTTGAAAAAATACTGGTTGCTGATTCTACATATCAAAATACAAGCAATATACAACAATGCCTCATTTCAATAATGCCTACGATGTCGACGCGAGCGAAGGCAACTTCGTTGATATTGGCGGCATCGTCATTTATGCTTCCAATGTTGATATCGGCAGCATTGTCGTCTATGCTCTCAATGTTGATATCAGGCTGATGAGTGAGCAACCCTCAAATATCACAAGTGAGTTTACTACTTCACACAATCCACTCTATCTAATACAAAGCGGCAGGGAATGCTACATCATGGGTGGAAAGCCTATGGACACCGTTTGTCATATTCTTCTCTCTGTTCCTTCTGGCAATGTTGTCACGCTGGTGCTACCTACTAGTTTCTGGCAACTGTATGTTCGTTTGACCACCCGTGCGTTAAACGTGGCATGTCCAGAGGCATTTAGTTACTAATGCGGCACGATGCTCCCCAGATATACACTACCTCTAACTATACTTATGTACTAAAATACGCACACCACGGAGATAATATTTGCACTGCGTACATGTTCCCTCCGCCAACACCCACCTCGGAATTCCCCCGCTGCTCGCCCTCTACCACTGGAACCAAGCAAGCCTGGTCACTACGGTGATAGGAACAGCGCGAGACACTCGATGTATCACGCCGCTGGTAAATAGGTGGAGGTGTCTGACACACGGCCATCGTTCTCAGGACATTAGTTGGCACAGAATCACTTGCATTGCATTTATAGAGTTAACTATTATACGTTATGACATATGGACAATCTCTCCCCAATTGGACCAAAAAAATGACTTTATAATAATCAAAAAACTGTACTCTCAACGATACATTGTAGCCTATTCATTCACATAATACCTTGTTATTGTGAGCAAATCGTAATCGTGATGCTCCATCAACACAACATGTACACGGACCATCCGATTATCGTGTTGCACCTAGCCCAGACTTGGTGTTTTTTATGACAGCTGTCAAGGGGGCATGAAGCCCAAATGAAGATACTCCAATTCTCTCTCCTTCAGACCATCCCATAGAAGCTAACATCTTAAAACCGATGTTATTTTCTCCTATTTTAGGAGCGGCCTGGAATAATACCTCCTAAAATCACAAGGACAAATCCATCAGAGTACATTGGTTGCTTACCTTGCCAACCTCATCGCCGTCTCTATGTCTGGGCGCCTGTGCTCTATCTGTCCCTTTACCCTTGCCGCTTCCACGGTCATCGGGGCGGTCGAAGCGACCCCCACCTGTCCTGCGAAGTATACCTCGAATTTTACCTTCTCTGACATTGATACCCGTCCTCGTAGTCTTAATCAACGTAGTATACCTGTGTTTCCCCCTCCCTTTACTCATGCTTTTCAGATTGAAAGCATTTGCAAGCTCGTGGACAACCTTTCTCGAAGACTTGTCCATGGGGGGAAGGACCATTTCTTGTCTCCCCCCAAGGTCGGCTATGAATCGTCTAATTTGCCGATCGAGAGAAACGAGATCCACGACTTTGTTTGGCATTGCATCGTCGAGTAGGGCAGCTGCCAACGACGCCTTGCGTCCTTTCTTGCCACCTTTTTTAGGAGTCAAGGGGTCCATGGCGGCCAGAAGACGAGCTTCATTGCGCATGCGTTTGTACTCGGCCTTCTTCAAACGGTCTTTTTCCCATTGAGATTGTAGTTCGATAGGAATACTTTTCTTCTTTTGCTTGTTTCGTTCTGTTGAGGGAAGATTGCCAATGAGATGCCAAAGCCGTTCATGTTAAATAAACGCACTGGATGGAGTCGTATGAAAACCATCATCGGTTTCATAGAAATCATCTAATGTCCCTTCCTCGATGGCACGGAATAGAGCTTTGCGTTCCTTACGGTCATGACCATTGATAATATGGCTATTCTCTTCTAACATAGCCTGAAAAACGAAAAGCCATGTTCAGGAAAAGCTGAGAAGGATGCCACCGACATACCTCAATGTGAGCAATGTATCTATTGTCACCGTCCGCTCGAGTCCAAGGAGGATCCTCGTCGGATGATTCTACCTCAGATTCTGGGTTATAATCAGCAGTCTTTCTTACTCTGGCTTTATCGTGCAATCTTTTCAGCCTTGCTTGGAACCCTGACTTCGGGCTCTGGTCATCATCATCCGAGGAATTGTCCTCTTCTGAGACTTCATCCTGGCTCTTTACATCCTCCTGGAAATCCTCTCCATCAGCTTCGGCAATCATGATTTCTTCTTCCACTGCAAAGACCATTTCCTGTTCTTCGCTATCACTAATGTCGCCATCATCCTCAGTGTCACTTTCACTGCCGTGACTATCGGATTCCTGCTCCTCCTCATCCTCCTGCCTCATTCGTTCCTCGTCCGCAATGTCGTCCATAGTAGTATGCATGCCCCCATGTGAGCTCATACTGTGAATAAAGCCCTTCATGGCCGGTATATCCATGCCTATGTCGGGGTCAATGTCCATACCGCCCAGCCCACTTGAGATTTCGTCCACAGCATCTGCCATTTCCTCGTTCGCATCCTCGTCATCGTCACCATCGCCCCAATCAATATCTGAGTCCCCTCTCCGCCTTTGCTCCCACTTTGGATCCTTGCCCTTCCCTTTCCAGTCCTCGTCCCTTAAGCGTTCTTCCGAAAGTATGGCACCAAAAGAGCCAAACATCGCCTGTCGTTCCATCCGCCTTCGTGCAACACGTGCTTCCTTCTTTCGAGCTTTAGCCTTTGCCTTAGAGCGCCCATCTTCTGAAAAAATCGGGCGATGATGTGGCTGTTTCTTGGGGGAAGGAGACGCAAAAGAAAACGACACTGAGGAGAATGCAGGTTCACCTGATTGTTCTCTGATGCTGGTGGTGGAAAACTGCCCATCCATCGCAGAAGACTCATGAGTCGCTGTGTTAGTGGTGCCAGTGAGGATTGATGTGGAAGATAGAGGTAGCACAGGTTCACTAGGGACGGTCGCAATCTTCCCAGATCGTGGGTGAGGAGCCACGTATACGATCTCTTCATCCGGTTCGCCCAGTGGTGCGCCAGAGAATACGCGATCCCCTGTGATTGATTCTCTATTACTTGTATCCATATAGGATCGCTCAGTATCAATAAAAAATAACGGGGTGCCGTTTTCGTCTCTGTCCACCGTGTCCCTCGCCTGAAGATTAACAACAGAGGACATGTTGTCGCCGGAAATAGCGACGATTGTCTGAGAACTGAAGCCGGACGTTCTTCGTCCACCCAGTTGGTTGACTTCACTTTGCGTTTCCGTAGTAATTTTGTGTTCTTGATCTTCTTTTATGCTGGCATGGCTCTCTTCGATAGTTATTGAGGTCTCTACGGCATGGCTAGGAAAGAGAATTTGGTAATCTCCAATTTCGTTGATGGAGTCCTCGTCGACTTCTCCTTGAGCCTCTCTGGCGTCAACATGATAATTGTTTTCTGTGCGCCGAGGAGGAGATATACCAGTTTTTGGGTCCACGTAGAATCCCGTAAAACGCTCTTCAATAGATATCATATCTGATGGGTCCGCAATGGCAGAAGCTGTAGCTTCTACTTCGTCGCGTATTTTCTGCATGTCTTCAAAGTTAATTTCCTCCAGTCGCCCCTCGTTTTCATCATGATCAGACTCGTTGTCAGATGATGGGTCTTGCTGTGAGGGGAAATTGCCGCTGAAAACACGAGCGACACGATCAGCAGTAGGAACATCGTTTTGCCCTATAGGGTCTTTGGACAACCTTTAGTCTAAACTCCATAGTAAATATGTTGATATGCTCACCTGCGTTCTCGGGCACAGACTGAAGAAGATCCTCTTTTTCTTCAAAGAGTACTTTTGTGTATACCGAAGGCACGAATGTAATAGGTCTCAAGAGAGGCCTTTCTAATAGTCTTGAGAGAGGTACATTAGAGCGTGGACCCTTTCCCCGTCGTGGAGTATACGAAGAATCGGTTTGATAGCTCCCTCGCCCATATCCTCGTGCTCTACCTCTGGGCGTCCCCCGTCCGCGAGGCGTCGTATTTCCTCTATCGCTGTTGCCTACATTGTTGCGAGGATGGGGGCTTTGCATGCCCCGCCCGCGACTGTTGCCCCTCCTTGATAGGCCATTGCCTATATATCCCAAGAAAAATGGGAAGCTCGGAAATAGAGTGAATGGTATCTACCTTCATCTGGCCAAACCTGGACGACGAAGTCCATGTCATCTATGAAGCCTATACCCTGGCCTCGCCCTCGTCCTCCACCCATAGGCCCAAGGCCCCCTCTGAACCCCCTTCCTCCTCGACCGCGCCCTCGCCCTCCTCGAGGCGATCCTCGAAAGCCTCTACCACGATCATTAGTCTTGCTCCCTCTATGAGGCATGAGATTGATAAGTTCAAACTTGATACGCAGTTGTGATAGATGCTAGTAATGCAGTAGGTAGAAATGGATGAGTGTCAGAGATCTATGCGGGTGTTGATAACAGTGTGGGTTTTTTGGCATGATTCCAAATCGACTCATGTGCCTCAGGCGCTTCCGAGAGGCCGAATCCGAAGTAGTCTCCTCCATAAAAAGTCAATCTGTATATATATTGTCCATATCTTTTCCAAGGGATCTACATATACAAAGCACTACTACGCCAGCGCTATTCACCCTACATAAAATTCTTATCAAGTTTGACTGTAGATCTCAAGCAAGCTTTGGACACGTTTGGAAAATATCAAGGAAAGTATGTTGGCATGGTTTTCAAATCAAAAAAGCTATAAATGCTATGAAAGATGATCACTAGAATGAAGGTTTTTGAAATCCACGTAGTCTCAGAGAGCAGGAAAACTTACCACTATATTTTAACTAGTTCGGGGAGGCGGAGGCATATACCTCCTATCGTCTCTTGGGTTGTACGAATTTCTGGCATAGGGCGGAGGCGGGGGAGGCATCCTCGATGGTGGCGGCGATCTGGCGGGCCTCACATCTCGGTCATATGAGGATGACCCATATGCAACTAAATCAGAGGTTCTATCCCTCGCACCTGCATAGTCTCTGTCAAGCGGTGGACCGCCACCAGGTTGACCTACAGCACTGAATTGTGTGGGCGGGCCCACTCTTGAATCATAGAAGCTGCCACCGCTGCTGGGAGGGGGGGTCGCCGCCAGTTCCTCTGTACCCATAAGATCTTGGCACCATGAGACGATATGTTTAACAACACCTTGATATATCTGATGCAAGACATCGGGGGTAATGCAAAGATGAATATCACAGTAGGGAAATCCTTCCCAAAATGGCATTCCCTGGACCTCCTCGTCTGACAGGACTGGGACTACGTCCTCTTACACGAGAGAAAGGTGGAGGAGAAGTGGCAAGAGGCAGCGGAGGATATCGCGAGCGCTCTAAATCTCGTGGTGGATAACCACGTTCCTCACCTGGACCAGGATAGCCACCTTCGGTTAATCGCGAGCTAAGTGGACGTGAGCCGTCAACAGACCGTGTCGATGGGGGAGAACCAGGGTAGTATGGTCTTCGGTCACGTTCTTCGCGAGCTTCCCATCCACTGCCCCTAACAGGGGGCACGTCGCGCTCATACCGGTCTCGGTCCATAGTTCTGTCCCAGGAACGCCATGCGCTTCTAGATTTGTCTTCCTCTGCCAGACTCCATTCGCGTCGCCTGTCAAACTGCCAGTCACGCCTATCACCTGGTGGGAAACGTCTGTCGGCGTCGACATCATATGCAGAGGCAGGTTCAGCACGAGAAGGTGAGGGAGGAGGATAGTAACCCCTAGTACGGGCATCAGCTACAGGGGGAGGAGTCAAACGTCGATAAGGTGGGCGATGATCAGCAAACCGAGCAGCGGCGTCAACATCCATCATGTCAGGTCGTCTATCATCATTGAAGCCCCGGTCGAGCTCGGGGCGATACCCTGGTCTCAATTCTGGTCTCTCACGCGACAGTTCTCTGGTAGTTCTATAATCACGCGCTTCGGGTCTGTCGGCAGTAGTAGGAGAAGCTTTAGGAGCACGGAAATCGTCACGAGCCACTGACGCAGAACGAGGTGGCGGGGCATAACCAGGGCGAGGTGGCGCACGATCCTGCGGAGGAGTTACTGGCCGCACAAATCTATCGTTCGCAGGCGGACGCCCACGAACATCTGGAGGTAGAGGCCGCTCATCCTGAAGAGGACGCGAGCTTTCGGCGAGACCGTTGCGAGGAGGGGGACGATCAGTAACAGGACGAGCAGCACGATCATCTGAATGCGGAAGCCTATCATTTGCAGCAGGAGCGGGAACAGGTACAGAAACAGGGGCAGGGGCAGGAGCGTGAGATAAGCGCTCTTCAAGACTTGGTTGGCGAGTAACCCGAGTATCCGTTCTGGTATTGGGAGGTTGATCGAGTCGATCTTGAAGAGAAGGCGCTTGACTAATTCTCTCTTCTAGAGGCACAGGAGGTCGAACAGGACGCTCTTCAGGAGTCGGGGCGGGACGGCCACGCTCTTCTAGGGCAGGACGAACCGCACTTTGAGATTCTTCGGCGGGTTGACCACCAGGGGGCATTCGAGCAGTACGGTCCTCTGAACTTGGAGCAGCAACTCGATCATTCCCAGGTGGAGGCCTTACAGAACGGTCGTCAACAGAAGGACGACCTACTCGATTATCGGGGAGAGGCCCGCGGTTGACTCGATCATCCGGCGGTGGACGAGGTGGCCTGTCGTCTGGTGCAGGACGCGGGCCACGATCGTCAGGACGCACAGGCGGTGGGCGTCGATCTACATCTAAGTCTTCTCTTGTATCACGACGAGGAGGTAAATCATTATAACGTGGTTCATAATGCCTCTGTTCTGGAGGTGGCCTCGGCGCATGCGTTCTACCATGGAACCCGAAATTTGGGCGTCTGTCGCGGTCTCTATCTCGTTCCCAGTCTCTTTCTCTGTCACGTTCCCTCTCTCGATCTCTCTCTCTATCCCTATCGATATACCTCTGATCTTTTGGAGCGGGACCACGATAATCACCTGGCTGTCTGCTATCGAGACTGTTACTCAGGCGGGTTGGTGGGGCTGCAGATCGCTCTACATCATATCGTGGGCGCCTGTCGTCGTCTCGCTGGGGCCAAGTAGAATCCCGAGGACGATGCTCGTCTTTACCATTATAACCAGACTTGACTGGTGACGAATCGAGTGTCGTACGTCCGGTATACTCACCTGGCCTATCAGCCGTGGGATGTTGCTGATCACCTGTTTGAGGACCGAAACTTCCATCGACAGGGGCACGAGAGGAAATACTGTCTGCGCGCCCTCGTATTGCGGCCTTATCATCATCGGGAGCCTTCAAGTCTGTGATACTGCGACCGCTTGTGAGTTTAGCCTCTGGACCCGATACAGTAATATCATTCTTGTGTTGATATCGATTGCCTGGTGCCTGTGATGTCTGAAAATGATTAAATAAGGTTAGTTGGAGCGACAAATGCACTGCGACTCGGAGAACAATGTACATTATTTGTAGACTGAGGTCCGCTCACTGGAGAAGTAGCAATTGGTTTTCTAGCATCCCAAGAGGAATCTTTGTCTTGGATACTTGAAGGTCTTCGTCCAGATTCTGCGGAAAACGAGGATGGTGGTGGAGCTTCGCCAGATGACATAGCGCCTGGTTGACGTGCATCATAGTGACCCTGATTGTGACCCGAACTCTGATAATCAGAAGTGACTTGCTCTGGGTGAGGAGGCACATGAGAACGTCCGGCAAGAGGACCTAAGTAGAGACTGGCTAGAGCAACTGGCTGAGGAGTAGCACGGTAAAATTCGTGTTGTCCTTCCTTGATCATGTTTTTTAGGTTTTCGAGAATTTCAAGGTCATTTTTCCCGGGCGGTAAAACAGCCGGCTGTTGGTAGAACTGCTGTTGAGACTGCTGAGGATGGACACCTGAACCATGCAGAGGTGCCATATAGTTATAGCCATATCCAAAATTCCCTGGCATTTGGAACCCGCTTGAAGATATGTTGGTATTGCCGCCAGATGAGGATGCAACAGAAAAAGGAGAAGACATCAGATTGGCGCCTGCTGGTTCTTCGCTAGGAGTTGGAACCAGGAAGGAGGTATTGGGATCTTCAGTGAGGGTGGTGACCGTACGTTCACGGTTGTTCACGTTGTTTCTGCCCTTGCGTTTTTTGTTTTGACGTGCTGACATCGGGCGGTCCACCTGTACGCGCGTTGTTGTTTAGGGTGCTAGTCAGATCATATCAGACTGAGCCGAAATACTCGTGTTTGCTGCCTGCTCACCAACCAAAAATAAGCTTGCTGAAGAACAAAGTACAAGACACTGCGATATCAAGAGAAAAAAGCAGGAAAAAAAAAAGCGAAAGATGTGGTGAGAAGGTAAGATCAAAATCAGACTAAGAAGTATCCACAAGTTTCTCACTGTGGTGGCTTGTTGATATACGAATCAGCACATTTCGATAACGTACAGTTCCGTTGACGAGCGATATCAGGTACGAACCCTTACTCATCGATCTCAGAAATCACACAAATGGCAACGATACCAGAGCAAAGCAGACCAACAAATTTAATCATAATTTTCGATTCAATATCCAATTTTTTTTTTTAGTCAAGGGACTGTATTATCGTAGACAATATATAAATGTGTACCACATCCACTCACCGGGTGTCGATCCTTTACCGAGATTAACCAGTGCGAAACAATTTCAGAACTTGCTAGATGTTCGAGATGAATTAAAGTTCTGACCATCAATCTGCACCTGCAAGTCCTTACCTGCTCAGACCACCAGAGAAAAAAGTCAGCATCAAATTTCCCCAGTAATTGATCTTTATGGATCAGCTCGATAGCATGAATAGTACTCAGGCTATACAGTCTGAGGCCAACTCACTGAAAAATGATAATTTCGATGTATTTTCAGAGTTTCGGCCGATTGAGCGTATCCCGTAGGCGCCGAGAAGCCTGTCTCCGGTGCGGCAAGTTGGACACTGGGAAAACACCGTGGAGCAGTAACGGGGTAATGAAAAACCTCTTATCAGGTTTGAATTACCCCAGCATTTTTTATGGCACTGAAAATTCCTGTATAACTACAGAGCGGCAATGACATCGAGCCATTCGAAACCGCACCTCTCCAAAGAAAGAAAATTGTTTAACATCCATGAACGCCGTTGGTAATAGTTGCACCATTCAGATACTTTCCTAACAAGGTGAAGAATCTTGGGATGTTTGCGTCGGAGAAAAAGCAAGAGCGACGTCGTGGCTAGCTCACTGCACATGCGTGTAATCAGATATGATACGATAGACGTAATTAGCATGCAACACCGGATTCGAAGAACGCACTCACCCTTGTGATAAATATACATTGGGCACTCATGACCACGCCATCTGGACTCAAAAGGATTCGGGCCCGGCATCAGCTTTATCAGAAACAGTTACGTCCGAGTTATATACGCCGGCGGATCTCGACGAGCCCTAGTCGTCAGCGCCACCGGTGACGAGAGCCATTGACAGTCAACTCATCAAGTTACTGAACATTTCTTCAGCCTGTCATCATGAGCAGCTGCTCTCAATGTTATATCTAAATCCATGGCACAATTATGATAGTGAGAAAATACACGCATGTGGGTAAAACATACCTTGATAATTCTGGAAGCGTGGTGCTGGAAGCCTGACAGGAATACCCAGCACATCCATATCAGCCTGGAGAGGATCCCAACGTGTTTCTCACGTCAGCCACACCACAAACATGTCTGATGAGCGTCTCATGGTGCTGGCATGACATGAACGCATTCAAGTCCTACCCTGTCCTAACTGACTGCGGCAAAGAAACTCGCAGCACTGGCCGTAAATTCTTATAGCCTCCCTCTATTATCCCTGACAATCAGCATGACTGTCGTCGGATCACTTGGTGAAACCTAGCTGTGCATGTAAAACCCCCACGGTGCACATGTGCGCGATCTGAATTGCCTAGGACATAATGGCGTTGGAGTAAGCAGAACTACTTAAATGGGCCCCGTACGCTCCTTTTCGAATCAGAGCAATATCAAAGGGCGTCCAAGATAACGGCTGTTAAACGGCAGTCAGAGGCATAAAATCGGAAAACTTCGAGCTCCAGATGAAATTCCATGGTTGGAATCAGGTGGCAACGCGCTAACGCTCCTGCTGGCACGGACGCAAACGAACGTTTCAATGTCCGCGGCCTTTTCGGGACACCCAGGCCATGGAGCCGCGCAAGCCGTAATTTGTCAGACGCCCCTACCGCGACCTTTTCAATAGGCATGAGGCTAAGTATACTATACAGGTTTCCTCATGACTGCTGTTCTCCAAACTCACGAACTGCCCATTTCTAAACGATCCCCAAGAACATGGCCGCAGATTTTGAATGCAGCTCTGTTTCTTATTGTCTTCATCTCAGGATGTGTAATGGTTAACGGGTTCCAGTTTGTATTTCTATTGCCTTTACGATTATTTCCTTTTCCGTGGTCGAGGACATTGTATGATGAGGGCATCAGGTATACCAAAGAAGCCTTCGCGACTCTTATGAGTAAGCAACTCGCAAGAGCACCATGTCCAGCTCTAACCTAATCTCTTAGTTCTCATGAACCAGTGGTTTGCCCCTACCCGATTATCAGTCACTTTCGAGACCCAAGGTCAAGGGCGGTTCACAGAAGAGGAGGTTGAGCGGATAGTCAAGAGAGATGCTGCAGGCAAGGTCGTGTCCTTGCGCTTGCCTGCCAAATCCGTTATCATCGCGAACCACCAAGTACAACTACAGCCGCGTGTTCTTCGCATGTAACACATTGCTGACTCGTTCATTGCAATCACAGGTCTATTGCGACTGGTGGTACGTTTGGTGTCTTACTTATTTTGCGGGAACACACAAAGATGTGTTCATCGTGTTGAAGAGAAGTCTAAAGTGGGTTCCTATCCTGGGATGGGTACGGCGTTTGTTTGAGTCTACTATGATACAATCGATTCATGATAACACTCAGGGCATGCAATTCTATAATTTTATATTTCTAGCACGATCATGGGCATCCGATAGACTACATCTAAGTTCACAACTATCGAAACTGGGGAAACAAGCGCAGCAACAGGACAAACCACTCACATTCATACTATATCCGGAGGGAACTCTCGTAAGCAGGGATACACGACCCATCAGCAAGAGATATGCTGACAAGCTTGGAACAGTGAGTTTACTCTCTGCCAAAGCCCATCCATACTCGAAACTCATCATTGACCCCCCCCCAGCCTGACTTACTAAATGTATTGCTGCCTCGTTCAACGGGTTTACACTACAGTCTTCGCTCTCTTACCCCTCGTATACCATCGCTGAGGATGCTTGACATCACTATAATTTATCCCGGTAACTCTCACCTTTCATTATCACGACAGTTCGAAGCTAACTAAAGCCTTTCCCGAAAGGTGTGCCACCCATGGGTTATGGGCAATCATACTACACCTTGCGATCCATCTTTCTTGACCGTACACCGCCCCCGGTCATACATATGCACCTGCGAATGTTCGACGTTGCTCGTGATGTTCCCATCGGAGACATATCAACGACGAATCCCGATGCCATCCCGAATAGCGGCGCTGTCGAGGTCGACTTCCCAGAACACGAGAAAGTCGAGTTCGACCTGTGGCTGAGGAAACTATGGACTGAGAAAGACGAATTTATCACAAAGTTTCATAGCACACCATCCTTTCCCTCTGGTACGAAGGCTCCAGTAGACATACCGCTCGAATTACGTCATATATGGGAGATACTCGATGCGTTCTGTTGTTTTGGTCCAGCTGTTGTAGGTTATCTATGGGCGAAGTTGACAAAGGCTTCCCTTTTCTGAGCTTTATGGCTTGCTTTATCTATCGCTTTCACAACCTCGTTTGGATATCTCTCGTCTGTTGTACTCGCACCGACTCTCAATATATGTTTTACCTAGGAGAACTCCCGGCGCTTCAGCAAAGACTTGAGTCAGTCTAGACATCGTATGTGTCTTTTCCTGTGCATGGTTCTCGCAAGGCGATCGTTTCATCAAGCACAGGAATCTTGACCGGACTGCTCTGGGTGTTGCCGCTGCAAATTCCTTTGATATCCTTGCTTCACATGCATGTTTTGAACAAAATGAATTGATGGTTGCTTTGTCGGCCGAAAGCCCCCAGGGCAACGAATCTCTCAGGACACTTTCTAGCAACTTTACAAATAGTTTACCCGTCAAGACCGTGGTTTTTCATCATGGTGACCATCTGTCCAGAACTGTGGAACGTGTACCAGTGAGACTCGAGGACTGTAGTTCTTCGACGGCGGCTCCGAATGTGAGTTCTATGTACAGAGTTGCACCTAGGCCTTGCGAAGGCCAGTGCTCAACTTTGAAAATAGCGGATGCTATCAAGATAGCATGGAATTCAGAGGGTATCAGTCTCACTCTGACCATCACCAATCTGCCAACAGCATTCATAGCTGTACAATTTTTCGACAATAAATAATACCAGATACTGTATGACGAGCAGAAATACAACAGAGAAGAAATTTTAAGGAATGTGAGAGTCCTTCGAGTCAAAGGTGCGATTGCAATAAGCGGACCAAAAAATGGTGGAGCACAACCTAGAGATCTGATGGAAAACGACGAGTCTGAATAGTAATGTTACGAACAGAGAGATAACGTATCAAGTCTACTCTGAGACTAATACAACTGCATAGACGCTGACGATGAGAATGATCAGACGCGAACTTCTGTCTCCGCCTCTTCTTCAAATTCGGCCTCTCTAACTTTCTCGTCAGTATACTGCGGGGGAGGTACGTAGACGTTCTCGGCATCTTCCTCGAAAACGATGTACTCATGCTCGAGAGTATCATCTTCCTCTCTTTCGCCTCTTATCGTGCGGTAAGTGAGGACCATCAACACCCAGACCATACGGAAGAGGACACCTATGCCACATCCTAGATATGACGCATGTTGAGAATAGCTCTATAAGTTTGATATTTGAAATCACTTACCGAGGACAAAAGCAACAGCGCGGCCCTCCCAGGGTCCAAGTGCCATGAGGGCACGGTGGATACGTTTCATGAACGAGCCTCTGTGGTGGTGTTTGGGGCGAACGTGACCGTGGCGGTATACCCTCACGACACCTCCCTCGTTCATCATCTCTTTCAAGTTAGCCTCGTCTGTCTCTTGTACTGGAGCGGTGACAGACGGAGGAGCCCCTAAGAAGGGCATGGGCAGGATGTGGACACCATCGGAGTGGGAAATCCTGTTATCAGAATCGGACTTGTGATGCGCGGGCTGGTGACTTGAGTGCGACTCCTTAATTTCAATGAGGGGTAGACCCAAGGCATGGCGGAAAGAGTTTGACATCTTGATAGCCTTCGCTTTCCAGGAAGAGCCACAGAAGTGGCGTCCCTTGCTACTGACCTCGGTCGACGAGGACATGATGACGGCGGGGCGGATGATGCTGGCCACATTGTCGTCGTTGCCGTTGACGTTGGCATTGGCTAAAGCATGGCCGAATCTGATGTTGGCATTAGCCTTGGAGTCTGACAAGTCTTGGTGGCCGACGATGACACGGATAGGCTCAGCGGCAACCTGGTGAGCTGTGAATAATTGTACGAATATCAGTACTACTTGTATTTCATTTAGTGATCAAGCGATGCTTACCGAGACCAGCGCCTGCGAGAAGAACAGGCAAGACTGAAAGACGCATGTGTGCTAGTATAAGTTTCGTTAAGGTGAAAGATCGGGAGGCTTTGACTGAAAGGATGAAAGGTTAAGTATACGAAATGCAGGTGGGTTGTGCTGATATTTGGAGTAAGTAGTTGAAAGGGTTGCTCGCATCAGCGCAGCTCAGCCCATAGAGAGCACCCTTCTTTGAGACTCCGACACGGCATGCAAACGCCACCTGCTCTGAGCCGCTCACCGCCCGATGAGTAATTCACCAACTCTGGCTCTTTCTCGCATTTCCCCGTCAGCATTGCTGTGCTCATAATATCCTTTACATTGTCTAGCACTTTTGGCCCCTTTGATCACTCGAGATGTCCCCAATAACGTTCTCGACTGCACTGGCCATGGCTGTCTCAACTCTGAGTCTCGAAGGCTGGACAACCAAATAGAGCATCCTTGTGTATTCGGGCTGTACTTGCATACGTTCCTGATCTCACGTTGACTTTATTATTAGTTTTCGGCATGCGAGTGAGTCGTACCTGACTGATATCGTGCTCGTCAGGCTGAGGTTTTTTTTAGATGCCGTATTTTGGGTGGAACAGCCTACAGTCGCACAAAAAGCTTGTCGGGTCCGGGTTACTCGCAGATCTGCTTCGTGGTTTTGAGTCATTTTGCATGTCACAATTACACCAATGCTACAGAGATTCGCCATCGTATAACTCGCAAGCAGTACACAACTTCACCCGAACCACTTAGGTGACTCGAAACTATCAAAGCTGCATCTTTACTTTGATGAACTGTCTTCTGTTACAGCACGGAGATCTTGCATACCATAAATACAGGAGTCCGTCATTCGTTCACTAAAATAAACATGCAAAGATAGATGTGGCGAATGTCATCGCGTCGCTCTGATGATGAAAATCATGAAGAAAAAGGAGACCAGTACCGCGACAACGCTCGTCATTGTGAAACACGTTGTGGACATACCCTTCCCACGTAGGTCCCGTATCCGTATTCGCGCCCTTTGCATGACATCAAGATTGCCCTCCAACTTTTCCTGCATGCCGTCAACCACCACCTTATCTTTTACCAGCGACTCGGAAAAGTAAGTCGCATTGCGCCGTAGTTGAGTTGCCATTTGTGCAAGTTGTTCGGATAACTCATCCTGTAGTGCACGTGAGTTCTGTAGAAATGCCGGTTGGGCGGTGTTATTCGAAGGGGAAATTGTAGTTGTAGGCCGTGAGATAGGAGGCATCAGCCTGGTGGGGTTGGCTGGCACAGGGGTTGACGTGGGGGGCAAATTCGTGACTTCTGGAGAGGAAAATAGGAGCTTCTCGTCAACTACCGGCAATGTTTCATCTCCTGCAGGTAGTAAAGTAGCTTCTGGTGAAGTATCTGTTTTTCGGACGACAGGCACTGGTAACGACGGTAGGATAGGACGAGGTCGCCTCGGTTGTGGTGCCACACGCTATTAGGATGTCAGCTCCCAAACGTTTTTGTGGTATTGTCAGGACATACCTTGTTAACCTCTGCTACGACATCCTCCAAATGATCTAAACTGCTTCGGATTCCCTGATACCGTTGCTCAGTTATTCTATAGCAATTACGGTTTCAACATTCTCGAAGCTCGCCAGTGCACGACTCTCCATACTCACGATGTCGTCTCCACGTCATCTGCCTGAACATTCTTCAGTAGTACCTTTGCATGTTTGATCTTCTAAAAGACGTTGTAAAATAAACAGTATTCCAGCGTCAATGACACCCAGTTTGAGGAGAAAAGCTTAACGGCTAACCTGGATAGTTTCTTGAGCTCTAATCCATGTATCTCGCGGGACATCGTCAGACCAATCGTCTTCTGAGACAGATTTCTCCAGCCTTTTAACAAGACGGAATAAGTTAACTTTGTCATGGACAAGCTGGTCCCTGGGTCGTGAGTTCATGGCGGTCTGGAGAGGTTCTCGACAACACGCGCTGCCACGTTGTTTACAAGCTTACTGACTTCCGAATCCCGTCATGACCCGCATCCGGAGACTCACTGGCAAATATCACTAGCAATTCCTTATAATTATACATTTCTTTCACAAGATACCTTTCGTTATCTTATTAGATATCCAAAATTTTGAAGACTGCATTTGAATAAACACATAATTCTTCCAAACTTATGTTGCCTATTGAACAGTCGATGGAGGGGCATGCCGTCGACTTGGGTGGACTTGGGCAGTGGAGAGAACTCACCTTATTTTCAAGACTGTATGCGATTATATACAAGACACAATGCTGTTGTTGTGAGATTCTATAGCAGTTGCAAGCGAGATATTACTCGCGAGAGGGCCGGGTGTGGTACTGAATGGTCTATTAAACAGGAGTGAACTCCGTAATCCAGCAATTACTGTATGAGCGGTTAAAGGATGCACATTTCTCTCAACCTAACGCAGGGACTCAAAGTATTGCTGAAAGGACACAATCGAAGGTCAGATATATTATGCGTATAACACCGTAAATTCCGCACCGTTTCCGCCCGAGCCACCGACATTTTGAATGAAGCAACTTCCCGCCAGCAGTTCAAAGGTGTAGTTGGATTTGATCTGAATTAGTGACACAAGACATGAAAGATAGAAAAGTAGTAGAGCGAGAAACACGCACTGGTAACATGAAGCTACAGCTTGACTCTTCTCGTTCACCTCGAACAAATCACCAAGTTGTTGGCGTGTTTGCGTCCTGTCGACTTTCGACCGAATCTCTTCTATATCGTTCATCAAGGAAGTACTGCTTTTGATGTCTCCGTGAGCCTCCTCTTCGGTGTCCCCAGCCATGCTCCTTTCCCGATCCAGGTTCTCCTTCTCCAGTGCAACTTCAATTTCTCTCTGCACATTTTCCTCCTCTGTTCTCAGTTGCTTCAAATCAGCTTGAATACGCGAACGAATATGCGCATCTAGAGTTGTCTGCCGTTCGGGAGTGGTCTCTGGGAGATTTACACGGTCGGCCAGGTGGTTCACCACGTCCTGCGAAAACTGCAGAGCGGTGAGTATTGTAGAGTCACGCTTTAGAGTAACTCGTCAACACACCTGTATTGGCGTTTCATGGCGATACTCATTGTCGTCGGATTCTGGCTTTGACTGACCTGCACCCATTGATATAATATTGGCCTACGTCGGGATGCAAAGGACTTGGGTTATACCGTGACCGAGCTTACAGCCGGCCTTTCAAAACCTCAAAACGCTCGTACTGAGCCTAACCTACGAGGTCTAGTGCTACAAGTCTACAAGTAGTGGGGTCCATGTGTGGAAACATTGCTTTTCCACCCTCACCATGTCGGCAGGGCCTAAATCTGTGCTTGCCCTTCATGCCAAAATCATAGATGCTCTTTCACCAACCTCGGGCGTGTACGGTGTGCTCTGGCCAGTCATCGTGAATCAAGGAGTGGTCGACTTCCGCGTGCACACGTTGCGGAATGTCAATCACTATCTTCGTAGTCTTTGTGATATGCACGTTCTGTCGGATGTAGCAATACAGGTATTTTAATCTTGGCTGATTTGGTGCAAGTTACCCATTTATTGTCACTGTGGCAGGAGTACAAGTCTTATCACGATAGGGCAATGCACATACCATATACACTGGATGTTGCTTTCGTTGGCACAGAATGGCGTTGTTGGACACTCGATAGGTACGTGTAGAGAAGCACGAAGCTAAATCACCTTCCCGCAAATCTCAATGAACCTCGTGAAGTTGGTGTTTCGCTACCATTAAAGATCTGGACCATTTTCTTGCCCTTGGTAACATCAACCCGTATTCAATGAGGGAGTGGCAGCCAAGCCAACTACTGAGACATTCGCTTGAAAGTGGAGCCCTTCAGATGTCTGACGTCTGGTCGAGCTCGATGTGGGCGTCAGAATCGAGGGACGTTTTATTTGAGATGATAATCAAAACACTGGACCGAACCTGCCTCATTAAAGTTATCGGTCGAGCCGACAAAGCCATGTTGATGTACAATTATATCCAGGGTATGATTGCAGCCTCAGATACGGGGGGGACTATAAACTTGAAGATCCTTGGGCAAAAAGAAGCCTGATGTAGTATTAGCAGTTTATCATATTGAAATCGCATATGTGGGTCTTTACTGTTAAATATTGTCTACTTCTGCTAAACTCAGATTTTTTTTTCTTCTAATAAAGGTTTTCACTGATGTATTTTATCTTTCTTTTGATCTCATAGTCTGACACAGATATTCTGTTTATGGCCTTATTGTATTCGACCGAGTTACGATGACTGTTTACTTGACCAAGGAGATATGCATGATACGGAACCAAACCCCACGGCAGTGATCCACTATTTTTCCGTAACATGGCGAAGTGATTGGCAATCTGTCGTTCGTGTTCTATTCTTTTTCCATCAGATTCTGACAGAGAGCCATTACTTTCTCATACTATCGAGGGCACATTGTGAACTAGCGTAACCATGATAATGAACCATTGTCTTCCAATCTTATGCATAGGTTTGCCCTCGGATTTTTCCCATGTCAGAATCCTAAAAGCTTAACTGTTCGGCGATTTGAAGTTCGCCCAGACACATGGATTGCTCCCATTGTAACTTATGGGTCACAACCTCCCCCATGCTATCAGGGTTTACCGGATATTCTATAGGCTATCGAATACGGGAGCGAATGGACGATATGTTTGGTGATATCGTAGCCTCCGACGGTGTTCAGTTCGAAGCGGCTTAAGTCGAGGGCACTGGTGCAATATATGGCGCAGCACTACGGCCTTGGCTTTGAATTTTTCGCTCTTAGTGTATTTTTGAGATCATCAGCTTAGGCTCGAATTGACGTGCTATGTGCAGTGTGAACCCACATAACTTCCGTATTTGTCGATCTTCCGAATTCGAGAACGCACGGGAAGCAGATCATGCTTGTGCTGATAAAGATGATGATGATGAGGTTACTAAGCCATGCCTATCAGACCCACTACACTAGGGATAATGATGATGATATGATTCAGTTACTAAGTCTATTAGTGAGTAAGCAATATTGGTTTAAAGCCAACTGTTGTCTCTTGTCCTTGCAAACTGGGGCCGTTTAGCATGTAGCACGAACCGTTTGACGCGATGCCGAGCCCGGCGCTCAGGTGTGCTTTCGCAAGAACTATCATCCGAGACAGTGTTTAAAAGCCATTCGAGAATTGCAGGTTCCAGAATAAAGTGAAGTTCTACTAGGTGTGTGCTCCCTACTTTCAACTTGTGCCAAACCATCATTTCGCTCCAATTTCACTTATCATGAAAGAAGTCGTTGTACATCCTCTCCCAACATTGACCACGGAGATCCATGATATCCCAATCCCTACACCTGCACAAGACGAGTTGTTGATCAAGGTTAATGTAGCAGGGAGCAATCCAAAAGGTATGGCGTTCCGAGCATGCCATATTTTCTATCAACTGATTTCGAGTATGCAGATTGGTCCCATATAACTATGCTTAAACTTTCCATGAACAGTGGAGACGACGTAGCGGGCACGGTTGAGGCTATCGGTGCAGATGTAACAACATTCAAGATCGGCGATCGCGTAGCTGGCTTCCACAAAATGTTGACTCCTGGAGGCGCATACGCTGAATATGCGATCGTGCCTGCACATACTGCGTTTAGCATTCCAGACAATATTAGCTTTGAAGGTGACCGAATTCAAACATCAATAAACGTTGTCCATGGTTCTGATTGTACTTACTGCATATAGAAGCGGCGACGATCCCGCTTGTTACGCTGACAGCTGGTATATCACTTTTCCGCCGCCAGCATCTCACTGTCCCATGGTTATCAAAGCGCGCAGATAGCCCAGTTGCTCCGCTCATTGTCTATGGCGCATCGTCGGCATTGGGTAGCTTTGCAATCAAGTTGGCCTTGCTTTCTAATATTCATCCAATCATCGCCATCGGTAGCCCTTCGAGCAGTCATCTGCATAGTCTGCTCGACGAGAAACTCGGCGATCAAATTGTAGACCACAGGCAAGGTGCGGCGGGATGGAGACAAGAGATCGTAACAGCTCTGGGTAAAAATTCTTGCAGTGGCGGCATACATGCTTTGGATGCGATAAGTTCTGATCAGACATGGGTGCCTCTTGCACAACTCCTTGGCGATTTGGCAGGACCTGAGCCAGCTGTGCGTCCGCTGCTGTCTGTCGTTTCAGGCCGGCAGACCTACGAGGAGAACGAGATTCCTTCCATCGTCGGCATCACGTACACATACGTGGGGACAGCGCATGAAGGGGCGTACAGACCGAATATGCCTCGGCAACCACGAGATGCGGTAGAGGTGCGAGGTGATGTGGAATTTGCCAGGGCGTTGATGGAGTATGTTGGGAGGAAATTAGCTACAGGCGAGTTCAGTGGTCACCCATACGAGATTGTACCAGGCGGGTTAGCTGGAGTTGGAGTAGGGCTAAACAAGCTGAAGGCTGGGGAAGCGAGAGGGAAGAAGTTCGTGTACAGGATCTATGAAACGCAGGGGATTAAAAGTAATTAGTACTAATCATCATGGTTATTCACGTTAACAGTCACCTGGTCGATTGAAGTTTCGCCTTCTTTATGTAGTAGCCTCACTAACCATGTTGATATATTATAGGTTTATTAAAACGGTTTATTTTGCGATTTTCTAAGTGTAGCACTGAGTTCCATGGGCTTTCCAACTTGAAGGTAAGTCGCCCAGTGGTAGTTGGCAGCAAAATAGATGTCACGCACAGATCCTAGAGTAAGTTGTGTCACATACACATGACTTGACGCACAATCGTCATGATTTAGACTTGGACTACCTTGTTAAGCAAAATCCTACACATTTATCTGTCATTCCGCTTTCGAAAGCTTTTCAGTCCACTGAACTCATCATACCTACATGTTGCAATTTGGCCAATTCTTTGCGGGGGTTTTCGTGGACGAACTAGATACAGAACTGCCTATGTACCTAGTTGAATCATTAGCGGAAGAGAACACGGTGACTTGTTGGATGTTGTCAGAAGTTGGCAAGGTGCGAGGACCCATTGAGGCTGTGCTCATCCCAATTTGTATTGCGCGGAGGTTCGCTGTTAAATGGAAGGACTCTTCCGAACTTCGTGACTATACCAGCGCAGGCGAAGTCTTGTTGGACGGTCTGAGGGTGGGAGGTAAGATGATCTGCTCGTCAAACCATTATCGTCGAGGGAGTATCTGCGAAACGTCCTTGAGCTACGTTCAAACCTCGTCTGCTTCTATCAGACATTTTGTGTTCTCTGAACCTCAGTTTTCTGGTGAGCTCTGGCTGCAAAATATGTTACGAATATCGTTACTATCTCACGGTTGTTAGATATGGACGACATGTCGAGCTCAGAGCTAAGGGACCAAGGCCAAATAAAACTCGTTATATGGAAAGCCAACGTATTCGTAGGGAACACCAGAAGAGCATATCCCAGAGTGGGGCCCACACAAACCATACGCGAACGATCGAGGAATGTATTAGCGCATTGCATTGGGTGAATAATCCAGAGCTGCACATTATGCTTCGGTACTTATGCGACAAAGATTCGATAAAGAAGAAGAGACTGAACCGATGTTCAAATTTCGTGCTAAACGTTTGGATAGGAAGCCCCTGGCGACGTTCATATTTCGTTATAGGAGTCTAGGTACGCAGATCTAAGTAGGAGCTTGCATGTATGCGCGTACGTTGATTTCTGGCTTTGTAGAGGTACTACAAGCCAGAGGAGTCATTCCACGCAACTCGATCCAGCTTGTAAATGGAGGTGGCGGCGATGAAGAATATTATGTAAAACTGATCCAGTCTTTGCAGGCAAGTGAACGTGAACGGTGTTGGAAAATCGTTGTCATATATTGATTGGTCATCGTAGGACACGCTGAAGGCAGCCCAGGAAAAACTCAACGAGCTTCAGAAATTGAATATGCAGTCCCGAACCACAAGTGTTTCTCGTAAGAAGGCAAGGACTCGTCCGTCCAACGATCATCAGCAAAAAGAAGTTATCGACTTGACTTGACCGTTTCTAACACTTCAAGTACCCACATCCCTCTCTCCAAATGTTTTTAGTAGCAAGCCATCGTCGTCTTGTACCTTCAAACGCAACCAGCTCCTTTATGTATCAACACTCTGCAAACCAATATGCACGACGGCCGCCTTCGTGTTGGATCATACTACAGCATTTCCAAAAAGTTTGTATCACTAGTTTCTCCATATTTGCCTCCTGGACGTGTTTACCATGCGATGTATTTTTAAACAGCACGTAATACGAATGCATATGATGAGACACATCACTCGATCTCTAGTAGACTTCGTGTCCAAACACATCACTGACAATCGTCTCTGATCATTTCGACCTTCATACAAGCCACGAAAGGGTAGCATTTGGTCCTGACACATGCCCTGCATCGTTACATTTTCAGCGCAAGACAATGATCTCATTATATTCGACCTGCATTGCAGCGATCGTACGTCTCCATTCAAAGCACAGGCAAATCCAATCCATCTTGAAGTGGCCATTGTCAACGCTTGTCCCGTTGGGATCACAGCCCCTGATACATACAGAGTCACAGCACTGTTTGCACCCCTTCCTGAAGAATGATGTACCCATACACTTCCCAGCAGATCAACTTGGTACCGCGCAATGAACGAAGAAAGGTAAAATGGTAGTTTAAAGGGATTTCTTGCAGTTCGAGTATATCGATAGTAGGGTAGAATATACGGTCACTAGTGCCCCTTTCTGCCAGCAGTCATGAATACCGCGCTGAAAAACATGGACGAAAGTATCGCTGTGAGATCAGGTATCATGCAGTATACCAGCTTTGGTCTTCTTGTCGATGACTTGAAAGCCCCCAGGGTGATGGCGTGAAGATTAACCCCACTAGAATGAGGTATTGGACTCGAGGGAGAGCCAGTGGGGGTCGCGATGTTTGATGGTCGTGCTATTTCCTTGATAGCTAGCTGGCCGCTCGGTCAGTCAAAACGAATTCACTGTGTCATCGCAGGTATGAACTAGACTGGACAGGTCTTCAGCGCTTCAGCAAGGTGTATGAAACTGACGTTAATGGCTGAAAGGACTGGGCCAACTAGTAACTATTAGTTGGACTGCACAACTTTTGTTGATTAGATCTGAATTCCTGACCCTTTACCGGATATTCGATATCTATCTTTCGACACGCAGGAACAGAGCGCCACGGCCGCGGTGTTGCGCGGCAGAGTCGTACGAACTCTTTCCATAGTACCGAACAGCACTTCTAGGTTTACGTAAAACTTGTTTGCCAAGTGTTTTCTTTGTCGCCCACCGTAAAATGACTAGCGGCACCTCACACGTCGACCATGGCGACTCTCTTTCTTCTCTCTTTCACGCGTCAAGAATATTGACTGATGGTCACGTTCGGCGTACATCATTGGGGGTGAAGACGTATCTGTTCCAAAAGTTTCCCGTAGTGAAGTCTATGGCCTTTCAGATCCGTTTTGCACAGCAGCATACGACAACTTGAAGGAAAGGAACAGCAAGGCAAGACTCTTTTGAGCGGGAAGCTGTCGAGGTGTCCGAAAGACGCGATCTGGGCATGAGGACAATTGTCTTGATGCATACAAAACATCCTCACGCAAGCCGGTGCTGTATTTGACCCTATCTGCAGAACCTCGACTTCGACGTGCTCTAGGCTTGAACGGATAATCCTATAGACTGTGGTGATAGGGCTGGCTGGCTATATGCGTGGGTAATGTGAAAGAGAAGTCCTGTGAGTGAATTTCAAGTGATCTGAGGGCCGTTCTTGCTCCTGTGCCCTGCTAATGGTATCCAGGTCGGTTTTATATGCAGGACCCGCTCCTGTAAGTCCAAGCAGTTAGATCGTTGTTCAGTATGAGACCACTGGCCATCTTATGACTTTTTTGCTGATCCAGTGCACAGCACGTCGCCCAAAACGGCAGGTAGTCATGGTATGGTGATACGCCACATCCTCGTGCCGGGTCCGGTTTCAATATGCGGTCTCACGCTTTTCTTAGCCCTGCCCTGCTACGACGAGCAAGCTGATCATTTGATTGGGCAGCATTCTACTGTCAGCGCCTTCCCAATGTGTCGCTTCGTGTTATCCCTCCCAGACGGATCAACTGAGCCGAGATGGGTCAGCCTAAGAATATCACCTCTCACACCTAAGTAATGCGCAGCCTCAGCCCCACGGCTCTTTTTGCCCATAGCCGTTTCTTGCCACCAACACCATTCGACTGACGCCTGAAGTTGCTGCATCTCTCAGTTGACCTCACCGTCCTTTCTTTCTTGCAGGTATGGCCTCTTCCTCGGCCACTCTTCTTGCACAGGCTGTTGCCTCGGGTGATCTGGTCGACCTTGTCTCGTTTTCAGCATCTGCGACTGTCTATCCCTCAGATGATGCCCTTCTTTCCGTACTCTCAGCCCGTTTTCGAGCAGACTTACCATACACACGCATCGGTTCATCAAATTTAGTTGTAGTCAACCCTTACAAAACTCTCTCAAGTGTCAACGATGCAAGTGCTAAAGAGTACGAGGAACGGTGTTACAAGGATACCAAGCTAGCCTTGGTTGACTCTCGCAAATCAGTGCAACCTCACGTCTATGAACTTGCCGCGCGCATATATCTACTAATGAGAAGGAGAAATGAATCTCAGGCTGTAATACCCAGGTAAGTGGGGCTTTTTGTATGACCTTCACAGTCCGCTGACGACATTTTTACAGAGGTATCACTGGCTCAGGGAAATCTACTAATAACCGCCTCCTCATCGAGCAGATCCTCCGACTTTCTGCACACTCTAAAAAAGAGCTCAAAATTGTAGAACAAATCAAATCGCTCAACGTCCTTCTGGAATCCTTTGGAAACGCAAAGACTCCCACGAACCCAAATGCCTCACGACACACACGCTACACAGAACTCCACTTCAATAGTCGTGGTCGTATCAGCTCCGCAAAGGCTCTTGCATATAGCCTGGATAAATCTCGTCTTACTCGTCTTACTCATGACGAGCGCTCGTTCCATGTTTTCTACCAGCTCCTGGCAGGTGCCACTCACTTTGAGCGAGATGATCTAGGGCTCGACAGCCCCTCGGATTACGCTCTATTAGCCTCTTCAGGATGTTATCGTCTCCCCGCGGGTCCATTTAGCGATGATGGTATGGCGATGGAGGATTTGCGAGCTGCCATGCGCTCGCTCGGTTTCAAACCAAAACATACCTCTTCAATATTCACCGTCCTCACTGCTATTCTTTTCCTCACTAACATCCAGTTTGGAGAGGCAGATGCCCAAGATGTGTCGGCCTATGTCCTAAATGTACCTGTTTTACAGCATATAGCGCGGCTATTGGGCGTGGATACCGATGAGCTCGGAGAATCGTTGACATGCAAGACAACTTACGTGAGGAAGGAGCTGTACACCGTTTTACTTAATGTGCAGCAGAGTGAAGCGCAGAGGGATCAGCTTGTGCGGGATTTATATGCCATTTTGTTCGCTTTCGTGGTCGAGACCGCAAACCACAAGCTAGCGTCGAACGTGAAGGAACAGGCACCATCAAGTCAGATTGTTCTTCTCGACCAACCCGGGTTCCAGAGCCGTGCTTCTACCGGTACGACATCTATGGCGGCCCCGCCCTTAATATCTACCCACCAAAATGGGTTTGACGAGTTCTGCATCAACTTCTCTGACGAGATTGTTCAGGCGCATGTACTAAACAGCATTTTCGAGAATGAAGCGGGATACAATGCTAGGGCTGTTGCTGATGGCGTCTCTCTTCCTGGAGTCGCTGTCATGGACAACTCGGCCTGTGCAGAGTTGATCAGAGGTCCTCAACCCAACGCCAGAAAGCCAGGAGGGCTTCTTGGTGCGACGGGCAAAGCGGCATCTGCGTTCAAGTCGGGAAAAACCGGAGAACAGCGGAACGACGACCTTTTGCAAGATCTAGTGTCGAAGTTCGGTGTGCATGCGTCCTTCATTGCTGGCCCCTCCTCTGCAGAGGAGAGGCGATCGTTCGGCGTTAACCATTACGCTGGCCCGGTCTCCTATGACGTGTCGAGTTTCGTAGAGAAAGATGCAGATCTCCTCGACCCAGCATTCGTCTCCCTTTTGCGCAGTTCTTCAGATCCATTCGTGTCCAAATTGGTTTCAGGCCCAAGCCTGGCGACTGAGAAGCATCAAAGTGATGATGGAACTATTGTCCAAGCTCAAGTCTCATCACGTCCCCTTCGCCTTCCTACCCCCATATCTTCCATTCCAGATGAGAACCAGCGACTCAATCCTACCAAAATCTACCCAGTCACCACGCAGATACATCAGACACTAACTGATGTTCTTTCCACACTTTCGCATGCTCGTTTGTGGACCATTTCATGCATCCGTCCAAATGATTCCGGCTTCTCTAATTCCCTCGATAAACGTCGTGTGAAGGCACAAATCAGGTCTCTTCTACTGCCTGATATTGTAGCGCGGCGGAGCATCGAGTATGTAGCTGAATTTGAGAAGGCCGAGTTCTGCGATCGCTATGTCCCCACTATGCGTGGGCTAGAAGCAGATCGAATTCGACAGTGTATTCAGTCTAATGGATGGCGGGAAGGGACAGATTATGCTCTAGGAAACCAAAATGTGTGGCTGTCATATCGTGCATGGAAGATGGTAGAGGACGTTGTGCGCAGTGCGGAGAAGGATCAGAAGAAAAACTCGCGAGAGGATTCGGAAGAGGATGAGAGTATATTCCCTGATGATACGACGGAGTACAATAACGGCGCAGCAGAGCAACAGCAGAGAAATTACTTCGATGGTCCTCCAGGACCTGTTTACGAAGAGCCAGAGACACCATTTGATGGGTACTCGTCGTCTCATGTAGTGCCTGCTACACCAGCAATGCTTCCAAGCCCTTACAGACCCTATGCTGATGACACTGGCTCTGAATGGGATAAGAAGGGCGACAGCTTCGATGGGGCTCCTCCATTGATCCCTAAGGAGGGCGTTATGACCGTCAACGAGGCGCCCAACGTCGTCGAGGAAATACCTTCCACTCGGACTCGCAGGGTCTGGCTTCATATTGTTAGAGCATTCACTTGGTTCATTCCCTCGTTCTTGCTGTCCAGTCTCGGTCGGATGAAACGACCCGACGTGCAGCTTGCGTGGCGCGAAAAGATGACGATCTTTGCCCTTATCACTCTTGCCAATGGCATTGTTCTGTTCTATATCATCGTCTTTGGTCGTCTTCTGTGTCCCAACTTTGACAAGGCTTGGGCATCGAACGAGGTAGCGCAACATACCGGAACCAACGACTTTTACGTCTCCATCCAGGGCAAGGTGTACGATGTCTCGAATTTCGTTCAAGGGGACCACAGTGACATAACTGGAGAAGCTAGTAATGGAGCAGCTACGCTGGAATATTTGGCAGGGCAGGATTTGACCTATTATTTCCCTCCTCCTTTGGTACTGGCTTGTTCTGGTCTTGTCACGGACGCCACTATGGAGATCGCGATCAAGAACACTAGCGACATTTATGTTACACAGGCGGTACATAATTCGGGCAAGAACGCGCTCGTTGCAACCAGTGCCTTAGCCAACGAAGACTGGTATACGGCCACGTACTTGCCAAAGATCAACCAATACTACAAGGGTGCTCTAGTCTGGGAACCAAGTGAAATTTCTGCTCAAGCTAGTGATCAGACTATTCAACGGTAAGTACATACTCATGCATACTTTTGATTTTTAATCGATTAATTGCTTTTGCCTGTGTAGTATTTGGGGGATTTACGACAGCAGCATCTATGACTTGACGGACTATGTTTACACTCAGTCGACTCTTGAACAGAACAATGCTGCATACTCATTTTTGGATTCTAGTCTCGTCGCTGTGTTCAACGAGCAAGCAGGTCAAGATATTACTAGCTCCTTGAACCAGGTTCTGGATGCGATGGATGCCAATACGCGCTCGGCAAATATGGACTGCTTACAGAATGCATTTTACTGGGGAGAGACTGACTTTCGTTACACACCGAGGTGTCAAGTCCAGAACGTACTGCTCTTGGTATTCTCGAGTATTCTGATGGCTTCGATGGGTATAAAATGTAAGTGCCATTTTTGCTGTCACAACGATTTACATGGTTAACGTCTATATAGTCCTGGCTGCACTACAATTCACCACGAAGCGAGTCCCCGAGCTCTTGGACAAGTTTGTTCTGTGCCAAGTTCCTTGTTATACTGAAGGCGAAGATTCTCTCCGGCGCACGATCGACTCCCTCGCAGCCCTTGATTACGATGACAAGCGCAAGCTGATCTTCATCATCTGTGATGGTAACATTATTGGTAGTGGGAATGAGCGTCCTACACCTCGCATCGTATTGGACATCCTTGGCGTTGATCCAAGCCATGACCCAGAGCCACTCATGTTCAGATCCATTGGTGATGGTGCACAAAAACTCAACTATGGCAAAGTTTACTCTGGGCTTTACGAGTTTGAAGGTCACGTTGTTCCGTGAGTGGGAGTCGTCACATGGGGCAACTCATTACTGATAGTGTCACCTCTTAGGTATATGGTTGTTGTCAAAGTTGGGAAGCCGACTGAGCGATCTAAGCCAGGAAATCGCGGCAAACGTGACAGTCAAATCTTGTTGATGCAATACCTGAATAGGGTTCACTTTAATGCTGCTATGTCACCGCTGGAGCTTGAGATCTATCACCAAATGCGGAATGTCATTGGTATCGATCCTGCCTTTTACGAGTATATTTTCACAGTGGATGCCGATACGGTGAGTCTTGAAGTTCGATAGTCGACTACGCATATCTGACGTTTGTCTCTTCAGTGTGTCACCCCGGAGTCTTTAAACCGACTTGTAGCGGCGGCTGCGGATGACTCAAATATAATTGGTGTCTGTGGTGAGACTAAACTACAGAACGAAGAAGGGTCGTGGTGGACTATGATTCAGGTTATTTTCTTAATGCTTGAAATATATTCATTTTGCTTATGATTGTATTCTCTTCTAGGTCTATGAGTATTACATCTCTCACCACCTTTCCAAGGCCTTCGAAAGTTTGTTCGGATCAGTTTCTTGTCTTCCTGGATGTTTCTCTCTTTATCGCATACGTACCGCGGACAAGGGCAGACCTATCTTCATCTCCAACCGCATTATCGACGAGTACTCGGAAAACAATGTTGATACACTGCACAAGAAGAATTTGTTCTCGCTTGGTGAAGATCGTTTCTTGACAACCTTATTGATGAAGCACTTCCCGACGTACAAGACGAAGTTCATTCCGGACGCATTATCACGCACTATGGCTCCTGTTTCGTGGAGAGTGCTGTTCTCGCAGCGTCGTCGATGGATCAATTCTACGGTCCACAACTTGTGCGAATTGGCGATTCTAGCTGATCTTTGTGGTGTCTGCTGCTTTTCCATGAGATTTTTCGTCTTTATAGATCTCATTGGTACTATCGTGAGTCCTAATGTCGTGCCACATGGATTTTTACTTACAACTGCTATAGATCTTACCTGCAACTGTAGTCTACGTAGGTTTTGTTATCAGTTTATCTTTTCAATACGCTCACATTTTCTGCAGTTACTGTACTTGATTATCACTGTCGCTACTGGCCAAGGAATCTTCCCACTCATTTCAATCATCATGATAGCAGTTGTATATGGTCTACAGGTAAGTTTCATCGAGCTTTGTTTAATATATTTTACTCACATCTAATATGTCTTAGGCCCTTATCTTCATCCTCAAACGCGAATTCATGTTGATCGGGTGGATGGTTGTTTATCTTATCTCGTAAGCTTTTTCTCTTCGCTTTTGTTTTTTGCATTCGTTGAAATTACTTTCCGTACAGTTATCCGATTTACAGCTTCTTCTTGCCCATTTATTCGTTTTGGTGCATGGACGAGTTTGGGTGGGGTAACACGCGTGTTGTATTAGATGACGGTGGCAACAAGAAAGTTATCACCAACGTCGACACTCGGTTCAACGAGAATATGATCCCCTACAAGAAGTTCAGTGGTATGTTCGGCTACTCTGCTTCCCCCCCCGCCTTTGAGCTCATTTATCATTCAGAGTACGAAGCTGAAACCTGGGATGGTGGATCACGACACACGCCCGAGATGGAAACTGTTCACTCGCACATGGCGCCATCACTGCATCACAACAACGGGTATGGGTATAGCTCGTCTGAAGCTGGGGACTATTATCGCGACACAAATATGACCATGAATAACTCGTCAAAAGCCAACCTTCGCGTTCCTTCTCACCGCCCATCTCCCAGTTCTCGCTCGACCTCAGAATTCCCCCAAAGATATCCGAATACATCACCTTTCATGAGTTCTCAAGAAAGATTGACGATGCACACGCCACCGGCGCCATATCCTGGTCTCGGAAGTGTGTACGGAATGCCCCCACCGGGCTCGCGGATGACAATGGCAACGAACATGAGCGCGTTTAATCGGGGTGCATCGCCTGCTTTAGGGGCCCCGCCTACGCTGGGAGCCTTACGTCCGACTTCGACATTCTCGATGGCGACCACCGTTTTTGCCGGACCCAACATGAATCCGAACCCTTCGGATGAGGAGCTATACACTGCTCTTCGCAACTATCTGAGCACGCAAGATCTAATGACCGTCACGAAGAAGTGAGTTTATCGATTCTCATGTAATGCCTTATAGTTGCTGACTGTCCCACCAGAACTGCTCGCGAGGCGATGACAGCCCGCTTCCCCAAGGCTGATTTAGTTTCCCGCAGGGACTTCTTGAACCAATCCATTGATAACATCCTTTCACACTCATAGAACTGTCATCTAGGGACATCATCTCATTCATTTGCTGAATCTTGGACTTTGTTGAATCGGGACACTCATGTTGTTCAAATCTGTTACTACTTATGTTTCTGTTTCTTACCTTAGTACATCATTATCTGTTTGTTACGCATCATGGACAAAGCCTACTCAGACTCTCGTATTGTTGTAACGTGGATCTGTACTGGACTATACTCGTCAGCACTACGTGTTATTACTTCACTGTCGGGCGGGATGTGATTTAAGTCACTTGAAGCTAAGTCTGTTCATTTACCATCAAAAAACAAGCGTTCCAGCATAATAGTAATTTCGTTATCACAAGCTCGTAAATTATATATCATCCTGAGCAGTGTCGTGAGAGATAAATGAGAAACATCCATCGTCCATCAAAAAATGTCAGATTCTTGGCATGTTATCGCTGTCACATATTCAATGGAGATGCTCCTGTCGATCCTAACATATCTAAGGATCCTTTCAGTTGTTTCTTTTGGAGCAGATAGTTGAACATGGCCGTTGCTTTATCCGCGCGGCCAAAAAGAAAGAGAGTGAGGCAAGGCTCGTCGCCGAATGGTTTGGTAAGGGTTTCGAAAAGAATATCTTTGGAATCCGACACCCAGACCCATTTCAATAAAGAGAATGAATCCGTTGAGTGATTGTCGATGTCTGCCAGCGTGTCATGAATGTGAAGAGGTCCGGATGGACGCCAGAATTTCCCTTTATCTGGGTTGACACCTCCCAGAGCGCAGAACTCGCTGAAAGAAGTGCCGGCGAGAATGTCATACTGGAAACTTTTGGACATGAATTAGTCAATGTCTGCGAGCCCACGCATAATAAGGTATAGTGATAATGAGAGCTTACCGACGAGCAATCCAGCCACGCCATTCGACTCCCTCCAGAGGAAATTCCAGTGCAGCAGGCAAGCTACTCTCCGCATTTTTATATCGCAATGTGTATACCTGGAAACAGTAAAAGTATCATGACATAAGGCGAGGGGAAGATATGTTACATACTTGAATAGCAGTGTCTGACAGGACAAAGTGTTTACAGAGACTCCGGAAGTAGTTATTGACATTGCGTAGAGAACTCATACGGACCGCAGGAGAAGACTGAGCAATAATGACTGGCCATAATGCTCCGTACAATCCAGAGGATGGGGACAGAGCTTCTGCAAGTTTGGGGTGAAAGATAGGACTGGGTTGGGACATTATCCAGCGCGACGAAGGACCTTGCTCTTATCGAAATAAAATGGCGTGACTGGCAACAAATGATATCCATCCGGCGGTACTTTTATCCACTTGCCTTTAAAAATCGGCGCTGACAAGTTACCTCGAAGTTCGACGATGAAACTGCCTGTAATGTACATGAGCTCTCATTGTTCAGAAATGCAAGACGTGAAGGCACAAGAGAACAGAATAATATGTCACTGTTACGGCATCTTTATTACAGATCACTTTCGTACGCTCTACCAGTGACATGGATTTTGTACATACAGCTTCGATTTGGATTTAGACTACTGTACAGATAAAACTACAAACACAAAAATCATTACTTGTCATAATACTCGCGCGTTGAGTTGATTAGGGGCACTTCCAACTGCTGGACGTGTGGTTTTGGTCTATGTGTATCTACAGCTTTGATGGGGAGCATGTATCTAAAGATGTAAAGATGCATGCGTTCATATCGACTCAAAAAGGGGTTAGATAGGCATACTAACCTTTCTTCGTCACAACCGTAGGCCTTTGGAGTGAGCTTTATCACCGTATGAAGCGGAATCTTGATATACGGTAGGTCGGTCTGGGGTAAATCGTGGAAATACGCATATCTAGTCCCATCTAGTTAGTTCACTGCCGTTCGCGTCAAGTGTCCCACTTACAAACACCGAAGAATAGCCTGCAAAGGTATCGTAATCGTTATCTTGAACTCATCGTATACTGCGCATATATCTTACCTGATGACCGATGATAAGAATATTTTCTTGTCGCTCCAGCTCCATTATTACAGGTTCAAGTCGAACGACGACGTCACGGTAGGATTCACCCCCTTGAAACAGTAGTTAATATTAATATCGAGCGAATTGTGACCAAGGTATGAAAAGACCTCGGTAGCGATAATTAAACTTGTCTTCGTCGCGATTAGCAAAATCATCTGGGTATGCTTGCTGCATACGAGATGCATAAGTTTTGAATATTGAATCAGATGAAGTAGCAACCACAAACCTCGATCTCTTCATAAGTCATACCGTCGCAAACACCGGCATCAAGCTCATCCAGAGACTTCCAAGTAAGTTTAGTGTATGGTAGGTCCTGGGCCGTTTGAATGGTTCGCTGAAGAGTTGAAGTCCAAACCTAGATGCATGAAGCTTCCATATGTGAGCAATAAGCAAGAGGAGAGGAAGTACAGACCCACGGTAAGCGGTGCGGTACCGATATTGTCCCTTACAAGGCCTGGTAATGCTTTTGCATACTCCAGGCCTCGAGGAGACAATGATGAATCACCACCAATCTTCCCATCCACGTTGTACTGGCTCTCTCCGTGCTGTTGAATGTCAAAAACATGAGAAGAATATTCCTATTTATATGAGGATTTTCTTACTCGAGAAACGAATATGCTTCGTGGTTTGACGTGTAAGTTCATCAGATAAAAGGCGATTCGACTCTGCAGATAACCATTGATCCGCGACAGTGTAACTTCATCCCCCACATTCGTAATCCGAAGGTACGATAGGTGAGGCTCAGTTATAGTCTCGTAAACTGCTTCATATTCTTTGATACGTCGAATGAAATCCCGTTTAGCTTCTTCTCTGGAGGTATCCTTGTAGTCAGGATCTCCAGAGCTAACTTTCAGCGCAACATTGGCCGCGATAACAGCTGGATCGCTGCAGATGGACTCGAGGAATATGACGTATATGCCCTTCTCTTTCGCTACACGAGCTTCGATCATGGCTCTTCATACCGATGAACGGCGATTGAGATCACAAAAATGGGTTGTGCTCACCGGCGACTTCTAGTACTATTGGTCGCATCTGTAAACATTGTTAGTGCTGATGAAATGCACATCAACTCGCTCCTACCATGAATACCAACATTCCCACCATCCTTCAACCACTGGATTAACATTTCTAGGCTGTCTTGAGCAAGCTCATCACGAAGTTTTGTGGCTTCTACATTGCTGTGACTGAAATATGATGAGGTATGATCTTCTTGGATACCACTCCTGATTAAAAGAATTTCAGCTGTAGTATATGCACAACCTCGGGAATATTTACTGTTGCGCCTTCTGTCTAGCTCGAGACCTTCGTAATTGACCGACATTGAATACCTGTGTGGTCATAATTAACAATGAATTAAACTTCAGGCGAGCTGATTACTCGTACCTTGACGTTGTATTCGAGCCACTTAGGGAGCAATTTAATTTCAGATAGCCTAAGGATCAAAGCAAGCAGACGTGACAAACCTTGAGATATCTCATCAGTTTGTTACTGAGATAGGATTTACCCCGAGCAGGTAGTCCAACCTATGGAACACACATTGTTAACATACTGCGGTAAAAATATAACGTTGATCAAATGATCAAAGGTTCACCATAGCCAAAACGATCTTTGCCTCAGAGTAGTCAGGCTTAGCGACTTGAAAGTATTTTAGGGTGCATGTTTCGAAATCGATGGGGAGGACTAACCTTTATTGCCGATTCCCACTACTGATCGCGGAGGAGTAGGCGCTTGAGAACCTTTCCTGCTCGATGCCGTTGACTCATCGAACTGTTTTAACCTACACTCCTTGAATGAGTAAGTGTATGCATACTAGATAAACGAACTGACAGAGGACCACCCGCACCAAAGATGATGGGAGGATGACCGATATCAGCTGGTAAGTAATCTGAATTGTCAACAGCGTCAGGCTGCATGTCGGTTTTTGCTTCTTCTTGCGTTATATTCTGATGTAGATTTCGCCGTCAAGTCAGAAGAGATGATGTACCGCTTGAGCTCTATTATGATTTACCGGGTTAGTTTATTATCTGACTGCTTGATATCTGTATCGATGATTAATTTCTAGTCCTTTTCGTGTAGTGATATCGATGGCCTATGTCTTCAGGCGTAGGGTTATGCCCTATCTCGAAATCGAAGGACAGAACACTGCGCTTGTCGCGGCTTATTCGCTTGCAATGCCAGCGGCCGTACTACTGCTTACAAAGCATAATGCCGAAGTTTCGGCATCAGTCAGTACAGCCGCGAGCCGTTCATAGGATGTAAGCCTTTTGTAAGATACTTACTGGTACTTACCATTGTGACTCCATCCTTGAATAAACCGTCGTAGCTGAAGCACGAAAAAATATGAATAAGAAAGTTGATGTGGCTCATCCCGAGTCGTAAAATTAATTGTGTCTAAAATTCTACGTCCTCTGACTAATTGGAAGCCGAGCGCTATTCTCTCCTAAAGAAGACGAGCCCATCGTTGTGGCGAGGGTCTGCCGCCATTGCGGATTCACGGGAATGCTTCCCGAGCCAATATTTTCGAGTGTTAGTAGGGGCTAACTCATGATTTTACACCATAATGTGCCTCATCCACGTTATCCTTTGAGGCCGAAAATTGGACTTCAATCTCCTCCGAAGTGTCTTGTTGTCTGACTGACACTGCCTTGGAATGTCTGACAGCGTGTGGACATGCGAAAACTCTGCTGGAAACGCCTAAAGTAGGAGTGCTGACTCGGGATCACCAAGGGATATCAGAATCCCGAAGGATCCGAGCAACAATTGCAAGGTAGGTGAAAAATATCATCGAATAATAAAAATACGACGAGCTTTTTCAGCCGCTTGGTAGAATACTACGTGAGCTCAAATTGAACAAGTCATATCATACTATAGTTTACTAGTCTCGTCACAGGGCCATCCATCAATGACTCACATCTCGTGTTCACAAAGCCCATGCCATATAATCTCAAATACACATAGCCACAAACCACAAAACAAGGCTGCCGTATCAAAACAATATTCCCATGGAGAAGATGGAGAAGCCTCACAGTTCAATATCATTAAACCGTCGCATGTGGTGACTTTTCTAGATGAGTGTCGACCTGTCACTTCGGTGTCCTTTCCGCTTCAAGTCACTTGTTGTGCCGACTTCATGGAGTATAGGAGTGTGATATATACATTTGTAGGGGGCTGGGTCTCATTCATACCTTGCATTCGTGTACGTCTGTCGCATTTTCTACGGGTGAGTACAAGTCTAATTCCAAATCTTATTCAGGGTTCTTTGCTTGGAAATCAGAGTTTGGCACGGTTGTGGTAAGTAGGTGAGTGGGTGCATTTGTAGTGTTGTTGTGCTGTGTTTTTGTAAAGTCTTGTTGATATCGCGGGCTGTTCTCAACAACTGCCTTGTCATCGTGCTGTCACTTCCATGTCAGCAGCACTGTGTTTCTTCACTCCGATTCATCGCACGGTGAGATGTTCCTCGCACAGTACCCAAGTGTGGATTCGGTAGATCACAATTTAGCTGAATTTATAGTATATTCCGTTGAAGTACTATCAAATCTAATTATGGATCAAGAAATAAGCAACATATACAATGCGCCCCAAGTATAACAAGAAAGCTACCAAGAAGAAAAATCGACGCTAAGCAGAAAGTGCATCTAATTTAGATCCTCCGCTGGCATGTCAACTACTGTAACACGGAGGTCATCAGGCCAGTCTGAACATCTGAATATTCCCGTGCTAGACGGAATTATATCCACAACATGACTTCACATCGTCACGCTGCAAGTCAGCCCGTTGCAGGTTGATGTTTTAAACCATTGGCTACTACGGCACGTCTTGGTATAGGATTCATATGAATGGTTGGGAAGAGGATGTATTATTATATTGATTGCCTGCGATGAGGTCCTGCTTATCATCTTTTCATCGAATATTTTACAAAATAACGAACCTCCACCCCTGTTGTGTGATCCACCCACAATAACTGAGGAATTTGTACTGGATCCTTGGTTTACAACACTTTGGATGAAGACATCTTGATTTATAATTACGGTCGATGCTTTAAGCTGATCGACGGGTATCGACTGAAGAGCCTGATGGAAACCTTGCACTTGTGTTAGGACCTGCTGATCGTTTTGATTAAATTCCGCATCAGGCCCATCGTCGTTAGCCTCATCTTCACTCGTTACGTCTGCAAAATAAAACAGAGAGAATAAATTTGTCCTTTGTAGTGAGACTCAAGGTAAGCTGAAAACGCACCGCCTTGAATAATACTGTCTACAGCCGTGAAGTAGCTTGCTGTAGAATTGATAATTGCCTCACGATCTAACGAAATGAAGATTTGACATCAGCCAGACTGGCCAATGTGAACGGTCTCGGAGATGGATGTAGCAGGGGACATCGAGCTCACTTTCTACGCTGTATATTCTCCTCCTCAGAATATCATCTGAAGTATTCTATGCGATTATAAGTGATAAGTCCTTATCGAATTCAATCACTTACTTTCGTGAACTTCAGCACCTCAAGGCTTTGTGCGGCAAATTCACGACGTGTGCGATACATCCTCATTAATTTCCTCGGATGCCATACAAACGACTTTCTTTGTTGTTCAAGTTGGAGCGCCATGATATTTAGTCTGAGTAAAAACCAGAAGAATAAAATCAGAGTACCAATAGAGAAATAGTTGAATACCTTGAAATAAGAATCTCGATTCTGTGGAGGTCCTCTCCAACATTCAGTTGAGACTGGCTGGAATATCTCTGACATTGATAGAGTAGTTCTAGGGAGATCTCTCGGTACCGTTGACCCTTCTCAAGATATGAACACTTCTCAGTGTCTTTGGATAGTGAACTGAGGGATGCTAGAAGGTCAAAGTTGGAAGAGCTGCTGGCATCATCAAGTCTTTCCATGTTTCGCAGGAGCTTCTGTGGAAGTATATACGTATGTGATAAGATCGTCAGGGTATAGAGGGGAAAATCCGATGTGCTAGTGATCGAATTGTCATTGTCCTCTTTTTAAGTTGTGACTAGTTGGCTGCTGGAATAGGATGAGATAAAACGGTACTAGCGTCACATGGTAAATGCGCAAATATATGCTACTTATACCAATACTATACCTTTAAGTTTATCGTGGGTTTTGCGCAACTGAATAATTCCCTTAAAGTTCCACTTTGAAGTTCATTTGGTTGGCTAGTAAGAGCCTGTTAGAGTAACGTGACATCACATCCTGAATCAAACAGATGAAAAGACAGGCTTCAATCCAAGCCCACTCCCAGATAGACGTAATGTATAAATGGCATGCGTAACCAACAGATCACATATCGCAGTGTGCATGCATTGAGGCATAGGTATATGTTTTCCGTAAATTGACCAACGTTGCAAGCGCTAGCGTCACTGCCGCGGGGTATGTCGGGGACTTATCTTTAGAGTCCGACGAAGCGGGACTTCAGCTGGGGCAAAAGCAGTGTAATCGACATTGCGACCTTGCACTGGCCGTTATAATATTCACCAATGCTGTCTCGTCGACGCAAGCGCCAAGCTGAGCGAGAAGCAAGTTTAGCACAGACACAGGCGATCATCGAGAAACGTGCACTTCAAGTGTTTGGTTCTCCTTTACAGACCACGCCCGAGACTGTTGTTAAAACTGAACTATGGTGGTGCCAGCACTATCAATGGCTAAAGGATATTGGCTACTTACTACGCTCTCGATACGCGCCTGGGTGGGTTCCTTCATGGCAAGGTAACAACAAGTATTGGGCAGAATGCGAAGATAGCCAAGTTCCTACGGTACGTTGTGTGATTTACTCTACTCGCTGCGTTTTTCAATCACCATCTCGTAGTTAACGCATGTGATGGATGCAACTCGCATGGTCGATGGACTTGCTGTGACACTGAAGTTGATGAGGAAGTCACGACATCCTTATGAGATTGAAATTGGCCGACTATTTTCGACAGAACCATTGGCCTCTGATCCTGCCAATCATTGCGTCCCAATTCATGACGTGCTCGATGTACCAGATAACGATGATCAGGCTATTCTGGTCATGCCGCTGTTGCGACCATTTAACGATCCCCGGTTTGACACTTGCGGTGAAGTACTGGATTTTTTTCGCCAACTGTTTGTGGTGAGAACTCTTCAAGTTTTTCAAATGGGCTACTGATTATCTCGCTCCGCAGGGTTTACGATTTATTCATCAGCAACATGTCGCTCATCGGTGTGTTTTTTTGTCGGGTTCTTGTCCTTGGATGTTCTCTTAAAGACTAATAGTGACTGCATGGATCTCAATATCATGATGGACGCAACGCAATTCATCGATCCTTTTCACCCGCAAAAGCGTAATATGAGACGTGATTTCAAAGGCCGGGCTAGATACGTGACTCGCACTCAGCGTCCTCCGAGATACATTTTCATCGACTTTGGAATATCTCGACGTTATGAAGCGGACAATGTTGCCCCTCTGGAAGAACCCATATGGGGAGGCGATAAGACTGTACCTGAATTTCAAAAGTCGCATGAGCCTCGCAATCCCTTCCAAACAGACGTATATTATCTAGGAAACATGATAAGGAATGAATTCTTGCTGGTGAGTGATACCCCTATGCTGAAAGAGGTTAATTGCATATGCTTGTATAAACCAAGACAAAAAATGGGTTTGAATTCATGGAAACGCTGGTGAAAGACATGGTACAAGATGACCCAGCAAAGCGGCCCACCATGGATGAAGTCGTTGGGCGCTTTGACCATATTCTTCAGAATATCAGTAGCTGGAAACTACGGTCACGCGTCATTGACCAGGAGGATGGCAATATCACAGGCCTTTATCGTGGTGTCACTCATTGGACCCGTCGCATCAGCTATATAGTTAGGAGAGTGTCGGCGATACCAACGCCTTGAAACCCTTACGTTCTTTACCATTATACCTGCTACATCTACTTATGGATCTATCCGAGGAACTGGATTCCTGGCCTCTGTAGTGTACTTTATGTGACCAGGAGTCGCGGCTACACATGAATGTGTTATTGGTTGCATTCGTGTCTGCTCTGAACATAACTCCACTCAGGTCGGTCAAAAGACTCAAAACTGATAAGGACCGATTTCAGTGGTTTTAACGAATGGATACACGTATGTTGGCCTGACTTGTTCCTCTCTGGTCTTTATCCCTCAGGCTGGCCGACTGATAGCTTAATTACCATGAAAGGTTGTATTTTGGTTGAGAAATCGATCACAGAGGGATAGCCGCCATATGAATATCTGAATAATGTATGCCAATTCAAACTGAGGCAGTGTTATGACACGGTTACGTTGTCTAAAATTTTGCCGTTTTCAAGAGACACTCTTTCAATGTCGTTGAACGAGTTCGCGTTGATTAATTGCCTGCATTAATAAATAGAACTAATGATCGCACTTTCTTGTATATTGTGTCCAAAAAATGGACCGGAGGTTTATGAATGATATGATATGGTGCTAGGCTATACATATAGATCCCACCGAGGTGCCGGATTCGTGGTAGCGAACTTCAAACGTATTCCATGTGACCGCTGGCTAACTCGGAAATTGTACCTGCAAGTGTCACACCACAGTATCAAAGCTAGGCGCCACGGTGTTCTTCACACTTGCGCATTTACAGTACTCCCGTAAATAGCCAAGCCTCTCTGAATCAGGGATGTGACATTCAAACTGTCAAGGGTCGGATTTATCCAGTCACTCCCCTGCTTTGTCGCAATTTTGACAAGTGAGTGAAAGTCTGTGCGCATGTGAATTCCGCCGTTGTTCTTATCGCCTCGTTCCAGCACACTGACAACTCCATACCAAGTGGTGGCTCACGACCTCTTCACATCTTTGTTCTTTTTCCAGCTCCCGATTTCCTGAAATGGGTTCCAGACCTTGTAGTTCCTTCACCAGTTACATAGTCTTTGTAGACGTGAAAATAGGCTACAGAATAATCCAAGAAAATCTGACGCTAAGCAGCAGGTCCATCAGACGATATTCGCCGACTCAGTACTCGACTAGCAGATGGCCTAACCCTTAGCGCACCGCGAACGGAAGAACTGTCCACAGCGACGAGCTTGGGCGCTACGCTGCAAGCTAATAGGGTCGCAAGCCTGCTATACAGTGCCACGTCAGAGCACCTGACGGTTACAACAATCACGGGCCCAGATGTGTATATGTGTATTTCACGTAGATCGTCGAGAAGAGGAGGTCGTATATTGACTGCCTACATTCCGGTGCTGTTTGTCAGCTTTCTGTTGCAACTACGAAGAAATAGCCTCAGCATACCTCCTCCCCTATTATTTGAACCACCCGCGATGACTGATGAATTCGTACTAGACCCGGAACCTTGATGCACAACACTTTGGCAGAAAATATTCTGGTTGAAGGTAAAGTTCGTTGCTTGCGAAATTGGCATCTCTTGAATAGCCCGAGTAAAACCTTGAACTTGTGCTACAACTTGCTCTTCGCTTTGATCTTCGTCAGCTGATGATGCCAAAGCATCCCCATCAGCATTTATCTCGTCTTCTTTGTCATCCATATCTATGTAAGTAAATATGCAGATAGTCGAGCCCTTCTCAGTAAGATAGTAGGAATATCATTGACATACCGTTCTGAGTGGCATTGTCAATAGCAGTGAGGAAACTTGCTGTGGTACTGATCAATGATCGTTGGTCTAATGAACAGAAGGTCGCCGTTAGTTCGGCTCAACAAGACATCCCCACTAACTCGCAATCGGATTGAAATGAAGATTACTACACATACCACTCACCTATTGCACTAATGCATGCCTTTCGTAAAATGCGATCGGAAGTTGTCTGCCACGGAATGAGTAATCAATTGTAGGGACAGTTTCAATAACTCACTTTGGTTACTTCTAGCAGATCAAAACTTTGTGTGGCGAGTTTGATATGCTGACGACGCCGCTTAAGTATTTTTTGGGGGTTCCACGACTTCTTTGCTTGTTCATAGCTATGCGTAGTGTTGAGTAGCCTGAGGATTAAAAAGAAAAATAGTTAGACCAGAATGGAGGGACGAAAGCGGAAAATAACTAGCCGCTCGAAATGATCCTCGATCCTTTCGATCTCGTCCTGTACACCCAGATGCTCATTACTAGAAGTGTTTTGGCAATGAGTAAGCAGCTCCAAGGTGATGTCTAGGTATATTTTGCTTTTCTCCAAAGGACTGCACTTCGCAAGAAGTCTGGGCAACGAGATTAGGGATGTTATGATGTCTGGTCTACCGCTAGCGGTGATTAAGTTCTCCATGGAGGTGAGTTAGACAATGAGACAGCAAGGTAATATGTTAGACACTTGGCCCAATGAACGTCAGAGACTTTGCGGTTGACTTATTTGAAGATACATGTAAAGGGCTGAGAAATGACAAGGGCAGCCAGTGGGTGGGTTGAAGTCTGGATATATATCCTGGATTATGCATTCAGAGGCCGACCCAATAATAGAGTCTATGTGTCGACACCGGCCCCATCGCATTTCTAGGGTCTCCAGGGACCAGTCGGTTCGGAAGCCTATATTGGAAGGAGTCAGTCCAGTATTTTACGGAATTTCTCAGCACCCGCATCAGTAAGTGATACCTTGTGCAATTAGATATTCGTGGAAAACTGCATGCTTAAGGTAATTATTGTTACCAAATCAAATGAATGTAGACATGGATGGGCCTCAGAAATAATACTTGCGGTTGAACTTCATCGGGGAGCTGGTTTGCCGCTGTGTGTCGGGGATCAAATTTCGATCAGACACAGAGCTCCGCGCCTGCGATATTTACCTGGTGCTTGTCTCAATGGATCCATATGTACACATATTTTGGGCTAAACTTAACTTCATCGAAATCATTTTCATCGGAAAGCTAGACCACCGTATTGTCACCACGTTCACTGGCAATCAATGCTTTCTCGTCGTCGCAAGCGTCAAGCTGAAGAAGATGCAAAAAGAAACCAGGATCAAGCAAGATTTAAGGAACGTGTGCGTAAAACGCTAGGCGGACCTATCTCAACCATGCCTGGTGCCATCGGGCGAGGTGAATTGCTGTGGTGCAAGTACTATCAGTGGTTGAAAGATGCCGGTTATTTGCTGCGTCCTCGATATTCTCCAGAGTGGGTCCCTTCGTGGCAAGGTACCAGAAAGGATTGGTTGGAGTGTGAAGATAGCATTGTTCCTCTGGTACGTTGCGTTTCATGACATTTATATTTTCTAATATGGCTACTCCAGATTCAGCATATATTGGACGCAACGCGCATATCTGACGGACAGTTCGTGACTTTAAAGTTCATAAAAAAGTCTCAACATCCCTTCGAGATTGAAATCGGCCAACTATTCTCTTCAGAAACACTTACATCTGACCCTGCGAATCACTGCGTACCGATATACGATGTGCTCCATGTACCAGACGATGAAGACCAGGCTATTATAGTCATGCCCTTATTGCGACCATTCACCAAACCACATTTCGATACTTGCGGCGAAGTAGTCGAATGCTTTCACCAACTTTTTGTGGTAAAGAGCTTGTCGACCTTTCGATTGTACATCTAAAGCAATTCATTTACCATCAGGGCCTGCAATTCATCCATAAGCAACACGTAGCACATCGGTATATGAAGTTTGTCGCTTATAATTTCTACCACTGAATGATGATTATCTAGTGACTGTATGGCTCTGAACATTATGATGGATGCTACGAGTCTGTTCATTGATCCGTATCACCCTCAGGACATAGTTATGAGACGCGACTTCAAAGGGGAAGCTAGATTTTTCACTCGCACTCAACGTCCGCCAAAATATTTTTTCATTGACTTTGGTATATCTCGGCGTTACGATGTTAATAACGTTGCGCCTCTGGAAGGTCCCATATGGGGGGGAGACAAGACTGTTCCCGAGTTTCAAAATTCGAATGAGCCTCGTAACCCGTTCCCAACAGACGTTTACTATCTTGGCAATATGATTAGGAATACATTTTTACTGGTGAGTAAACATCTGCACTACCGGAAAATCAATCGAATGGTCATGGTTTCCACATCTAGACAAAAAATGGATTTGAATTCATGGAACCTCTGGTGAACGACATGATACAGAATGACCCGGCAAAGCGGCCTACTATGGATGAAGTCGTTGCGCGTTTTGACCAGATTCTCAAGCAGCTCAGCAGCTGGAAATTACGCTCACGCGTCGTTGACAAGGAGGATGGCAATATCACAGGCCTTTATCGCGGTGCCACTCATTGGACCCGTCGCATCGGTTATATTATCAGGAGAGTGCCGGCGATGCCAACGCCTTGAAACCCTTACGTTCTTTACCATTATACCTGCTACATCTATCTATGGATCTATCCGAGGAACTGGATTCCTGGCCTCTGTGTAGTGTACGTTAAGCGTACTTCATGTGACCAGGAGTCGCAGCTGCATATGAATGTGTTGTTGATTACATTCGAGTCTGCTCTGAACATATCTCCATTAAGGTTGGTCAAAAGACTCAAAACTGATAAGGACCGATTTCAATGGTTTTAACGAATGGATACATGTGTACTGGCCTGACTTGTTCATCTTTGGTCTTTATCCCTCAGGCTGGCCAACTGATAGCACAATTACCATGAAAGGATTCAAACTGAGGTAGCGTTATGGCATAGTCACGTTGTCTAAAATGCCGTTTTCAAAGGTCAGAGACACTCTTTCCATGTCGTTGAACGAGTTCTAGTTGATTAATTGCCTGCATTAATGAATAGAACTAATGGTCATAGTTTTTTGTATATCGTGCCCCAAAAAATGGACCGAAGGTTAACGTTTATGAATGATATGGTGCTGGGCTACACCTATAGATCCCTCCGAGGTCCCGGATTCGTGGTAGCGAACTTCAAACGTATTCCATGTGACCGCTGGCTAACTCGGAAATTGCACCTGCAAGTATCACCATTCGTATCAAAGCTAGGCGCCACGGTGTTTGCGCATTTACAGTACTCCCGTAAATAGCCAAGCCTCTCTAAATCAGGGATGTGACATTCAAACTGTCAAGGGTCGGATTTATCCAGTCACTCCCCTGTTTTGTCGCAATTTTGGCAAGTGGGTGAAAGTCTGTGCGCATGTGAATTTCGCCGTTGTTCTTATCGCCTCGTTCCAGCCCACTGACAACGCCATACGAAGTGGTGGTTCACGACCTCTTCACATATTTCTTTTTCCGGCTCCCGATTTCCTGAAATGCGTTCCAGATCTTGTAGTTCCCCTCACCGTTTACATAGTTTTTGTAGATGTGGAGACAGGCTAAAGAATAATCCAAGAACATCTGACGCTAAGCAGCAGGTCCATCAGACGAAATTCGCCGACTCAGTACTCCACTTGCAGATGGCCTAAGCCTTAGCGCACCGCGTACGGAAGAACTGTCCACAGCGACGAGCTTGGGCGCCACGCTGCATGCTAAAAAGGTCGAAAGCCCGCCACACAGTGGCACGTCAGAGCACCTGACGGCTACAACAAACACGGGTCCAGATGTGCATTTCATGTAGACCGTCGAGAAGAGGAGGTCGTATGTTGACTGCCTACATTCCAGTGCTGTTTGTCAGCTTTCTGTTGCAACTACAAAGAAATAGCCTCAGCATACCTCCTCCCCTATTGTTTGAACCACCCGCGATGACTGAAGAATTCGTACTAGACCCGGAACCTTGATGCACAACACTTTGGCAGAAAATATTCTGGGTTATGTTTATGGTAAAGTTCGTTGTTGGCGAATTTGGCATCTCTTGAATAGCCTGAGTAAAACCTTGAACTTGTGCAATTGGCATCTCTTGAATAGCCCGAGTAAAATCTTGAACTTGTGCTACAGCTTGCTCTTCGCTTTGATCTCCGTCACCGGGTGATGCCAGAGTATCCTCATCAGCATTTATCTCGTCTTCTTCGTCGTCCATCTCTGCACACGTATGGAAGGCGGTTCAGCTCTTCTCACTGAGAACCGGGGAGCTTATAGACTCACCACCCTTAGTAATATAATCAACCGCAGTGAGAAAACTGGCCGTGGTACTGATCAATGATTGCTGGTCTAACGAACAAAAGGTTACCGTTAGGTTGACTTGACACAATTCCATAGTCGGTTATCAAAGGACATTATATCTACCACTCACCTCCTGCACTAAAACACGTCCTTTGTAAAATGCTATCCGAAGTGTTCTGCCTTAACTATGAGCCATCATACGGACTAATTCTAAACCCAGTCAGCCTCTCACTTTGGTTGCTTCCAGGAGATCAAAACTTTCTGCGGCGAGTTTGAGATGACGACGGCGCTGTTTGTATATCTTTCGGGGGTTCCATGACTTCTTTGCTTGTTCATATCCACGCCTGGTTTGATGTAGTCTTAACAAATAGTCAGTCCAAAGAATAGCCCAAAGGGACGAAGCCAGAAAAATAACAGACCCCTTGAAGTGAATCCTGATCCTTTCGATCTCATCTTCTATACCAAGCTGCGCATTGGTAGAGTGCATATGACATCGTGTAAGTAACTCAAAGGTGATATCTTGGTATATTCTGCTTTTCTCCAACGGAGTGCACTTCGCAACGAGTTTGGGCAACGAGACTAATGATGTTAGAACGTCCGCGTCTGAGGTGGCGGTCATTATATTCTCCATGGAGGTGAATTCGACAAAGAGGCAGCGTAGTAGTAGGATGTGAGATACTCAATGCTTCAGGGAATATGAAAGGCAGTACCGAGGGAACGACAAGGGCGGTGGGATGTAGTAGAAGGAGTGAATACCGGTTTGTGAATTCAGAGGCCGAACTAATCGAATAATAATATTAATATTGTATCGATATACCGCCGCCAGTCGATCCGCTGGGAGCCTATATAATGGAAGGAGTATGTGCTTTTACTCGGTCAGTGGCGGCAGCAACACATTAGACTGAATATGCAATGTACTTAGAAAAATGCTTTCTTTTTAGAAAGAAAAAAACATGAAAACTTACGCTCATTTTACTACCGATGAGAATGACTGTACCAGTATGTAGATATACGGAATCATTTTATTAGCGAATTACTATGGTGGTTTCAGGTTGAACGTCTGGGAGCTAGTTTGCCGCTGCATGTCGGGGATTGAACACAGAGGTCCGCGTCTCCGCGTCTACAGTGACGTAAGCACTTAGCAAGTGCTTGCTTCGATGGGTCCATATGTACACATATTTGGGAGCAAACCTAACTTCATCCAAACCATTTTCATCAGCGAACTGGGCCGCCATACTTTCACCACGTTCATTGGTGATTAATGCTTTCCCGTCGTCGCAAGCGTCAAGCTGAAGAAGATGCAAAAAGAGACCAGGATCAAGCAAAGTTTGAGGAACGTGCGCTTGAAACGTTGGGTGGTCCTATCTCAACCATGCCCGGTGCCATCGAGCCAGGTGAATTACTGTGGTGCAGACACTATCAATGGTTGAAAGATGCTGGGTATTTGCTTCGCCCTCGATACTCTCCAGGGTGGGTTCCTTCATGGCAAGGCACCAAAAAGGATTGGATGGACTGTGAAGATAGCCGTGGGCCTCTGGTACGACGTCGCGATCTACATCCTCTACATTCTCCAGTGACCGCTCTCAGATTCAGCACATATTGGATGCAACTCGCATATCTGACGGATTGTTTGTGACTTTGAAGCTAATGAAAAAGTCTCGGCATCCCTATGAGATTGAAATCGGCCAACTATTCTCTTCTGAAGCACTTGCCTCTGATCCTGCCAACCATTGTGTACCAATCTACGACGTGCTCCATTTACCTGACGATGAAGACCGGGCTATCATAGTCATGCCCTTACTGCGACCGTTCACCAAACCACGCTTCGAAACTTGTGGTGAGGTAGTCGAATGCTTTCACCAACTTTTTGTGGTAAAGAGCTTGTCGACCTCTCGATGATACCTCTGAAACGTATAATTTACCAGGGTCTTCAATTCATCCATAGACAACGTGTCGCACATCGGTGTGTGTTACTCGCTCCTCACAACCCCTACCATTGAATGATTATTTAGCGACTGTATGGCTCTGAACATTATGATGGATGCTACGCGTCTTTTCATCGATCCGTATCATCCCCAGGACATTGTGATGAGACGCGACTACCAAGGGGAAGCTAGATGTTTCACTCGCACTCAACGCCCGCTAAAATACTTTTTCATCGATTTTGGTATATCTCGGCGTTACGATGCTAATAACGTCGCGCCTCTGGAGAGTCCTATAAAGGGAGGAGACAAGACTGTGCCCGAATTTCAGAAGTCGAATGAGCCTCGTAACCCGTTCCCAACAGATGTCTACTATCTTGGTAATATGATTAGGAATACATTTTTGCTGGTGAGTAAACATTCGTACTACCAAAGGAAGGGGCTGAATGTACATGATTTTCGTATCCAGACAAAGAATGGATTCGAATTCATGGAACCTTTGGTGAATGACATGGTACAGGATGACCCAGCAAAGCGGCCTACTATGGATGAAGTCGTTGCGCGTTTTGACCAGATTCTCAAGCAGCTCAGCGGCTGGAAATTACGCTCACGCGTCGTTGACAAGGAGGATGGCAATATCACAGGCCTTGTTCGTGGTGTTACTCATTGGACCCGTCGCATCGGTTATATTATCAGGAGAGTGCCGGCGATGCCAACGCCTTGAAACCCTTACGTTCTTTACCATTATACCTGCTCTATCTACTTATGGATCTATCCGAGGAACTGGATTCCTGGCCTCTGTGTAGTGTACGTTAAGCGTACTTCATGTGACCAGGAGTCGCAGCTGCATATGAATGTGTTGTTGCTTTACTTCTGCATGTGAACTCCGGCAGTCCTTATCGTCACTCGACGATCAAAGTCATAAGTCCCCCTTCCCCCCTGACACTTGGCCTGTCACGATCCTGACAAGCGGGTGAGAGCCTGTCCACATGTGTCAAAGTAACTTCGTCGATTTATAAATTTACGTCTTTCCTCCCGCCGTACGGCTATCAGAAAAGTCTTTCCTTATGCATGATCCTTGTCAACGCGTATAGGACAAGGCGGATCTCCCCCTATGTGTTGAGAAATTACCCAAACTAGCGGACAATACCAACGGTTGAACTTAATTCCTCATGAGGTCTGGCATTAGGAGACAAACCTTAGACCAATGCTACTGGCGTGGAATAATAATTGTGATACTTATCAACTACTTACGACTTTAGGCTGAGCATATGTACATGCCCAAATTCGTAAGCCTGTATCCAATTACAACATCGCAGCAACTATCGCTACACGTCCACATTTACACGTAAATTATATGTTGAGGATGGGGTGGTGATTGCCATCCTACCCGTGCTATGAAATATTCGACCTCGCTACCATTCTTGCGTAGAGCTAGGTGCAGTTGACGGCTGTTTTGTATAGTAGACTGTAAAGTCAACTTACAGCACATCACAGGATTCAGACTAGCTCCCTCCGGTATTGTGGTCTCCCACCCTCACATCAGAGGGAACTACACTGGAGTCGGAGCTTTGGTAAATATTGCAGTTGGCGTTGAAGTTCACCTGCAAACCCAAAAGCTTCCCCTTCTCAGCAAAGGCTAATATCTCCCGCAAACATTGAATCGAGGCATCCGAATCGGTTACGTTCAAGTTCAAGATAGGAGCTTTGATTTCGTCTGCGCTCTCGTCAGTAGAAAACGGGAGACTGGTGGTAGCCCTTGGCGATTCAAGTTCGTCACTGCCGCACATGTATGGAACCACGGACTGTACTTCCGAGAGACTGGTGGTAGCCCTTGGCGATTCAAGTTCGTCACTGTTGCATATGTATGGAACCACGGACTGTGCTTCCGGGGGACTGGTGGTAGCCCTTGGCGATTCAAGTTCGTCACTGTTGCATATGTATGGAACCACGGACTGTGCTTCCGGGGGACTGGTGGTAGCCCTTGGCGATTTAAGTTCGTCACTGTTGCATATGTATGGAACCACGCAATGTGCTTCGCATTCTGTTCGTAAAGAAGGAACGATTCAGCTCTCATGAGAGCAGCAAATAGGCTGAAATGTACCATTATCCACGACCGTTTGGAGAATACCGCTGCTCAAAGTACTCAACGTTGTAAACTCGATGCAATCATCATTTTCTAAGGAAATCAATTCTCAAATTGGGAATTATCATTGCCCATCCGCTTAGCAAAAATTGAGCAAATATCAGACTTACCATTCGTAACCAATGTATTCGGACGCAGGTCCAATTTATACCCCAATAGCTGTATCACCACAAGATCTCTTAGTTGATGCATTATTTATTGCCGATTCCACTGCCTTACCGTGAACTCCATAGGCAGGAATTTGCTCTGGCTGATGTAGTATTCAGATTCGTTGTATCTGTTCGTTAACCTTAGAGGATTGAGTGTGAAGCCCCATTTTGGGATTTCGGCCTCGATGCTCTCAAGCCTGGAACAGGATATGAGATAAAGCACGCGGTAGTGGGGTATACAAAGTTTGCAAACACCTATTCATTATTGGCTCAGCCCTGCTGAAACGCTCTTGAATACGATTGTTGTCTTCGACACTCAACCTCAACTCTGTTTTAGGATATAGACCCTTGTAGTGGAGGAGCATCACCTTGAGGACTTCCACACGTCGTTGGGCTGATATGAGAGGAGTAGGGAGCTTGTCACTTTCTAGATACAGGCTTGATGCCCATTCTCCAGGACCCATTTCGATGTAATCATTAACATCGCGAAGTTGTATGTTGGATTGTGCCATGAAAAAGAAGGTGGACGATTCAGGCTTCCGTTACTAGATGCCTAATAAACGATGTATTGAGAGGAATGATAAGTTGAGGAGGGATTCGAGCAGTAGTATGCTATGCTATGCAGAGAGCGCAGAATACAAGTCAGTAATAATATGACAGGCTGACCGATACATATACTTGTCTTATCCAACCGATGAATATTCTTGAAATAGCTGTTGTTGTAAGCCCACTGTGAAAATGCTCACCAAATCGGAGGAATGGGTATAATGAATGAACAAGGGTGATACTGGAAAAAGGTTAGAAGACAACCATGACTTACACTGCCTGCTACGTGAGATGTGTAAAGCTGTAGTGATGACCGTTGCTATATCAAAATTAATGTACCATCGTGGTTTGTGAAAAGAAACTAGGAATTCTCATCGACAGCTCTGTGAACTATCTGTCAGTAACCGCATCAGGGAAGTAAGCGTAATGCAATCTAGACCTATTTTGTCCATGCTAAACCGGAGATACAATTTCGGAGTCCGCGCCATCACGTACCAAGTGCTTCCGTCAATAGTCCATCCCAGACTCCTATGTACCCCTCACGCGCATAGCTTCCTAATACGCCGATCACGAGTCGTGGAGAAACTGGCAGTGTAGCAACAGTACTGCTTATTAGCAGACGAAAATACGTGCATTGGATTTCAAACCAGGCCGCATATTCTGTAGTGACTCTGGCTTGGATATAAAAAGCTTTCAGTTCATAGTGTGATGGTAGACAAAAATTCCCCAAAGTATGTACATATTTTCTGCGGCAAAGTTCAATCCGCCACCTGACTAGTCCTGAAACTCTTACTAATAATTTGGCCTCCCAGACTTTGGTTTTTCACTGGTACGTCGTCGGCTCAGGTTGCATTCAACCAAATTTCTGCAAAAACTAACAGCCACTTCCATCAGTTATCCGTACACGAGGCTTGCATTTACTTCGTCCAGAAAAATCCTGGAGACCAATAGTCACCGTTGTCGTCGACGACCACCAATTCCATGAGACGATTCTCGGCTGCGATGGACAAAATCCCAACTTAAAACTTCCCTTCGCACTGTGAGTGACGCCCATTCTAGTCGGATACCCACGAACTGACTTGTATGTATGACACAAAGACGAAGTGTGAATGTTGACTCTCGTGTAAATATTCAAGTGTTTCATCGATCGCAAAGCAAGAAGAAGGGCAAAAAACGCAATTTGGTTGCAACTGCGAGTCTCTCACTTGGAGACCTCCTAAAAATCCAGGGAACAGACCCAAGTAGGTTTTCAAACAAAGTAATCGCTTTCTTCTCGTATGCTTAACGGGACACCCAGAGCTTGAAATCAATCTGAATGCGACCACACGGCAACAACGCGGTTCCAGCAGAGGTAGAACAAACACCGCTTGCGTTATTGCCAAACTGCAGCCACCGACGCAATCTGGCATCCTCTCAAGGTCGAATACTTATTCGGATGTGGCTGATTCTATGATGGATGAGAATTTATGTGCGTTTCTTTCATTGGTTATCCATGGTCAGCAAAATCTCAATAGTCTTGTGGTAGCCAACGGCGAGCTCACTGAAACGGAAGTATCTTCGTGTCAATCTCGATCAGAGTCCGATCGTCCATGGGTCGACGACTTTGGTGGATCAGCGATCGGCGATTTTAGGATAGAGACTCTAGACATTAAAGGTTATTGGTCCGACTCCCATGATGCCCAATCAGAGGAAGAAAAAGAACCCCTACTTCAACATGGAGCGCCACGGGCATGCTTTGATGACGAAGAGACTGGCGAAAGTTCTACGGACATGCAAAAAGTTCGTCAAACTCCCACCAAGGATGTCGCCATCATCTCTTGGATAGCGGCCTCGATTCTTCCGACATACTCGGAGCAAATGGCTCCTGATCCTTCTGTGTCAGTGATGGAGTGTTTTGTCGACAGGTTCTCCCCGTACTGGGATCTGCGTAACGCTCGAGTCGACTCTGATTTCGAGAAAGTGCTTTCTAAACTGCAAGCAGAGTGGTCCTTCGTAGGAGCTTCAGTGAGTTTATCTTCAAGTTATTCCCGATCTGCATTAATGCTGCTGTAGCTTGTAGCATTAGCTGGGTACGTTTTCAGGCTCTTCAACCGTTCGTGTGCCTCATATGCTTCGACGTTGGTAGGTTGGATGCTGCGGTATTTGGCTTCTCGTCAGGTTCGCTCTTCTCGGTCGACAGCCTCGCCCGGCGAGCCATAGCCCTTGGAAGTATATCGTCGGGTATTGGTATCGCTCTAGATGCGTGGTTTTTGTTAGCCTATAGTGGCGCAAATGCTTCGAAGTTTCGGGTGCGTATTATCTATCGTCACTAGGGTACCGAAATCTCAAACTACGACTGACAGAATATGGCTCGAGACGTGTATGGTACATATATGTTTTTCTGCATATCCGCGCGCATGCCTGCTCTGTGCATGTTTGCATCTGCTTGCGCTCTCATGGTATTCTTGCTCTGTGTGTCTTGGTCAGCATGGCCTACAGCAGTGCTCGTGATGTCCTTCCTCGCGGGAACTATTGTCAGCTTACAGTTTATCGTGTATGGCGTGCATTGTGTGGTGCGATCTATATTTGAGCTAGGGAGGGCGATAAGGAGAGCGTTCTTACGTGTGGTTGCGGTCGTAGCTAGGAAACCACCGCCCGATGCTATACAAAAAGACACTCCGTCAAATGGAGAATAATGCTTTGGAATGAAGGGACAATCGCATTTTCTATCACTCATGTATCTATGCATTATTTTCGACATCCTGTAATTTATTTGCACTTTCTGGCCAAGTTTTGGCGCAACAAAAAGATGGTGATAAATGTGTGTGTATGTTCGTGTATGCTATGATTTATTACGGTGATTTTTACGCCGTGGTACCGATTAAAGCAGCTCCATTTCTAGATCTGGGACACGGGCCATGTAGGAATGAGTAGCCTGACAATTGCGGCTGGGACCCACAAACACAAATTCACAGCCCTACTGCCAACGGTGACTTGCCCTCTCCACCCCCCAACTACGATTTTTGACGCTGCAAACTTACTCGTAAATTCTACAAACGACCAATGCCAATTATCAGGTCCAGTCTGACCGCTGCATCGGAACTACACTTTCATTTGAAGATACCTCATCATTGCAAGACATTAAATAAAGTCCTTGACACGGTCGTTGTATTACAAAAAAATAATCCTATCGATAACTAATACCCAACCACCCATTCTGATGGACATACAAAAAAACCAAGAAACCATACTTTATCGATACTAAGGGGGGCGGGTATATTCAAAGGCAACATATGTTATGACTCTATCAGCTACATCATAACGAAACTTGTCCGTTGAAATAGGACTGTGGTACAGTGTATTGCTTGACTACACAAAGATGGTTAGTTATCACCGCTAGGTCGACTGAACAACAAGGTCCTCACCTGCACCCGAGTTTCTTGATCCTCCAATATTAATCGTCGGGGAATCGACGTTCGGTTTACCGTTACCGCTGAAGTTAAAGAAGCTCATTCCTTCAGGGTTGAACCCAAGGGAAGACGAAGACGTGTCGTCGGACGAGTGCTCCGAGTTTTGGCGGTTCATCGATGGAGGTGGTGACCGTTGCGGTTGTGAGGGGTGCCCCATGGACGAGTTTCCTTGGTGGGAGCTGACTGGCTGTGAAGAAGCTAGTATATGTGATTATCAGTTATTGGTGTTGGATTGCAGAGCGAGCAGCCTTACCATAGGTTGAGTTGGTCGTAGACGAGCCCCTAGTGGCCATAGTAGCCATCGTGGTGTTACCGGTTCCAAACACGCTCCCTTCTTGGAGAACACTCGGAGCGCTGTGATACATGGTTGCGCTGAGACCACTGTTGGACCCATTCGCCTGGTGAGCGTTATTTGCGACAGGGCTGGAATGAGCTGGATTGGGGGCTATTCAAGTCAGATAGCATTTGTTAGGATTGAGCCAAGTCCTACTACCTTGAGGTTGCGCGAGGCTCAGGACTATATCATTTCTGAGAGCTGTTTTCCGCGCGTTCTATTGTACATTGAGCTATATATGCAACACAATTAGTTAACCAACCGACCTTGATATCTTCCATAAGCTTAGCGCAGTCTGCGTTGAGTTGATTGATCTCATCCTGGATTTGGTCGATTTGTGTCTTATCTGACATCAATAACTGCTCTGCAAGGCTTTTCCGTAGTTCTTCACATCTATCAAGGGGAGGATCAAAACACGGCGCTTATCGGTCAGGAAAAGAACAACCCACGAGTCGCATCTTGTGACGAATCCTTGCACCTGAACGTTGGGTACAACGCCGTTACATTTGTATAACTCCCTTAGGAGCTCCATTACCGCGTCTTCTTGCTTCTTGAGCTGAACAGCTGGACTCAGGCTTCCGTTGCCTGAACGAGAGCGTTTGCTGAATATCTTCGCTACCATGATAGTTATTGCGCGGTGAAATATAAATGAGATTTTACGATGAGAGTTGTGAGACTTGATGCTGGATAAGACTCTGTAGACTTAGATTTTATACTCACCTGGAGTCAAATAATGCCACCATGGCCTTTCCGAGTCAGAGTCAACCATTCCTAAAGAGAGAACAAATGCGTTTAGAGAATACAACTAAACCTGTAACCGTGTATATATGCGCACACAAAAAAACGACATGATACTGGGCGTTTGAGGTGAGGCCTGGTGAGGTCCAAAGCCAGAACAGGAAAGGGCTAGGGTTAAATGTGGCTCATTCCCGATTGAGGCCTTCTTCGAATTGAATTGATCAGATCACCACCTGGCAACCGCACGGTGAACCTGTCTGCGATTAGATTATCACTTCATGCTAACTCAAAGCACTGAGAAATGATAACTTTAAACAGAAAAACAATGTAGCACACGTCCCAACCACACAGAATTTCTCAATCTGCCAAAAGGACCAAAATGCCAGGGCACGGACTTCGAAAATATTCATTTTTATCTCCGAATTCGCACCGCGTCAATTGGGTCTTTGTTCTCTTTCCAGTCTCGAACAGCGTACACTGGGACCCATATGTATCATCATCATGACGGTCAGGATCGGTAACATTGTAGTCCGCATTGCAAATATATTTTGTCTTGTGTCGCCCAGCCGCGGTTCAGTGCAGTGTCAATGGTTGTCAGCCGTCACGTTTTTGTAAGTCTCATGGTTCACCCAACCGAGCCTCGGTGCATCACGTCTTATCCAGTAATAAATACTAACCGGTACTCTTAAATCTCCCTTGTGCCGCGTCTGGAATGCTGATTTTATTGTGGTTCTGGTCTGTGTCGCAGAAACGTCAAATAGCTTTGTGGACATGATCCAAGGCTGTTGTCACTGGATATCCAATGTATCCAGATTTTTGACAGCTTATCGCCAGCCTATAGTTACAAGTCACATCGGTTTACGAAGTGTCCGAGTTTCTTTTGTCGAGCTATCCGATGTAAAATGTATTACACCAGGCCGTTGCTTCACTGGTGTCAAGGAAATCTGAAAATATTACACACAACCGGTATATGGGGGATACGATTCTCCAGTTTCTCGCACATTATTGTTTGGTGTTGCATTATTGCTTCGCAGAAAATAATCAATCATGATGTTGGACCTACAACTACAAATTCACAGCCTCGCCGCACAATCTTCATCGCACAGCAGCCGCAAGGCTCAATAATTAGTCCCATACTTACCTCCCGAGTCGGAAGAGTCTGATTGACCCGTGCGATCGTACCGCATTAGAACCATCCCATAGCCTTTTTGTAGGGGTGTCTAGACTTATGGAAACGAGGTGATGCAGAAGCACAACTGAGCAAAAAAGTGCTGGTATCCAATCATAAATAAATAAATTCAAATCCTGAATTTTACTAGCCAAGTCTCTGTAACCTGTACCGTGCCCGGACACAGCCTCTGCTTCGCAAACTTATCATCTCTTCGTAGCCCGCCGAAGAAAGCACGACTCCCTAGCCAATCGACCCTCTGCAAGAGGGCACTTCCACCAGCTTCGATTCTTCGGGCTCGAACTCGTTGCATACTTTTCCGTCTGCTTTCGTCAGCCACGCCCCACTCATGATCAGCTAAAGGTGCTTGAAGGGCACTGTACAACGCCGAGAGAACGTCCAGACACGTCACACAATTATGATCAACGCGTCGAGTATAGTCTAGTTCAAAAGACCACGGAAATTCTTTGCTGATGATCCTGACATGACGGGGAGACGATGAGGTCAACGGCACGGCAAGGTGTCGATAAGAATGTCTCTGGTGTGCTGAGAGTGGAGGGAATCGCAGGGTAGATGGAGGTTCCCGGATATCGTATACAATTGGAGCTGCTGACAGGGCGAGAAAAGGGTGGACAAGTGAACTAAGTTCGGAGTATGTCGACCGGTTGCCTATAAACCGTTCTCAATTAATCCTCATGTCAGTAATGCAGGAGGATGTACATACACGTCGTTATATTTTCTTTGTTACCAGAGGGCTGGAGGGTGGGTCTAGGCGTATCTTGGAACTGTACTGTCTTTGGCGATCTACGTGATGTGCTGGCCTTTTGAGCATTAGACAGAGCCAAACAGGAACGAGGGGACGATGTGGACGACCGTCCTACGTCGCTATCCATGACACTGAGCGCGTACATATGTGTGTGAGTGGCGTTACAATGGGGTGAAATGTAGGATTAGCTATACCTCGAATTGCATGGTTATATAGCATGGAGCGTCAAAGCTGCAGGTCAGCCAAATGATGGACTCTTGCGCCGGTATGCGCGAGCACAGTCAAAGCACAAAAAAATCAGAAACAAGCTAAGAATCGGCAGTGGATACATTTTGGAGGAGAATGCATCGATGTGATTTCATCAAGGGGAAAACCACCTGGAGGTTGCCTCGAGGCAACGCAGACATACCCGAATGAGACTTCCGGTAAACATCCGAGAGGCTTTCGAACATAAGCGACATTAGACCAACATTAGCCAAAATGCATCGTGCCGACTGGGCTGAATTCACGTTGCCCATCCGTGAATTGCGTCGCAGTGTTTATTTCTTTGTTCTCTACACACGGCTCGCCCATATTACATTGTCGTGTTCCTGTGGTCCTGTGGTAATAATCAATCAAAGGATAACAAGCGCAAGCGTCGAGCTGCGTATAACAGCACGTCCTAAAGTCGCGAGGCTTATTGCGCAGTGCAGCGTGCCATGACCGTAGAAACGCCTATATTGTGGTCAATGATTTATATATAGTGCGTTCGAAAGCTTGCTTGTAAGTCACGAAGCTGGAGAAGCTTGAGAGCGGCATCTACCGTATCCTTCCCACAGTTACATGAACACTGTACTGTTTTCAAGCTGATAATTTAAGCCTGAGTATTTGTCGCGTGCCCTTGCGGTGTACCACTGAAGCACTCACCTCTGTACTTTCGCCTTTCTAGGAGCGTTCGTTCCTTGATGACTGAAACACGAAATAGCGTTTGCGCTCAAAGTCAGATCAGTAAAGTCAAGGCGGTTTACAATGACTTGAAACCACTCATGGACTCGGGACTCGTTTTTCCTTTGCTCGTTGCCGGAAGGCTTCTTCTCGCTTTCAATATTCCTCCAGATACCTTAAAATACGACCAGCAGCTGTCATCGCCCTTAACGTCCCATCTAAGATGTGCGTTGAATCCCTTTCTTGTGGTATGATGCACTTACATGGCAATGCAGTACAAGAAGGGATTTTTTTGTATCTGAACAACATCGATCCTTATTCTGGAGGTGTATTCTACCAGGTGCGAATTGTATTTTGAATACCGTGTTTCATGATAAACTCAAAAGCCGACCTTTGCAGTCACCTCTGTTTCTGTCCTTATTTTCGACAATACTTCCAACGTCTCGAGTCGCGTGCTCTATTTTATGGACGTTATGTGACGCTATTGGAGCTTTAGCACTTGTGCGTATATGGAGATTTCGACAACGTGTCGCTTCAAGTACAAGAGACGGTCTAATCGCTGCGCTGTAAGTCTTTCATTCTGAGGCACGATGACGCGATGTTGCTGCAATAGAGGGTCAACCTAGTAGCAGTTCTTGCATGTCGTAGTACAGAGTCGTCTACCTTCACAGCAGGATCCACCCTGATCGGGCGTTGTTTATAGGTATCTACTTAACCCATATTTATCTCTTCCGGCCTTCGCCCTCTCGACTTCCACGATAGACAATACCTTGACCCTACTGACTCTGATGTTTGCAAGCCAAGGTTCGCCGCCCAGTCAGTCTACTTGATGTTCTGTATTTTCATATCACCATACAGGGAAAAAATCGCTGTCCTTGCTAACCCTGGCTTTCGTCATCCAGCTTTCCCTTTCCTCCATTTTACTTCTGGTGCCCATCTTTATGCTTCTCCTTAGCGGTCCCGTGTCACACTTAGCTTCACCCCACCCGTTTTCCTTCAGCGCAAAAAGAGTTCTACCACTTTTAATAGAATTCATCACGTACTCGATAGTGCTCATGATAGCTTCAACGACGGTCTCCGGTAGCTGGGCATGGATTCCAAAGACATGGGGCGTGAGGTTTGTTAATGATTTTGCATTCAAAGTGAATGACGAATCTCATAATGCTTGCAGCTTGGGCCTTCCTGACCTCACACCAAACCCAGGACTATGGTGGTACTTCTTCACGGAAATGTTCGATCATTTCCGACCGTTCTTCCTGATGGTTTTCTCAGTGCGTTTCATCAATCATGGCTAGTCATTCAGACATTCGGAACATTAATCCATGCGCAGGTCCATCTTATTATCTATATCTTTCCGATATGCATTAAATTCCAGTGGGTGAATATGCCGTTTGCCTATGTAAAAAAACTGATTTCCACCCCGAAAGGCATGATCCCCTCTATGCCGCGTTTCTCCTGACTGGCGTGTTGGGAACGTTCAAAGCATATCTAACGCTATCAGACCCAGGTCTCTTCTTAAGTATGATGCCTCTCTTTCCAGAAATATACCCTTGTGAGTGTGTCGCTTGTCCAAATTTATGCACATGTCGACGTTGTATACAGACTTGGCTCATCCGATCGTAACTGGGCTATTGCACCTGCACGCGTCGCTCCTTCTGCCGTTATTCCACCATCTGTGGATTTCTCAAGGGACAGGGAATGCAAATTTTTTCTACGCGTCGACATTGGTGTTTGGCATGGCTAACGGGGCAGCACTGGTGGACTGCACTTGGGCTGGTTTGAGGATTGCAATAGGAAGAAACAAGGAAGGGTACGAGGTTGTGCAAGAATAGCTGTGTATACTTGAGTGTATAAAGGGCTACTCAATTCCAAGAGTTCAGTTCAACGAGTTTTGTTCGATGAGTACATCCAATTAGCCGAATGATGCCGAATTGTGTCTCTGGGTCGATCGTGACTAGGTGTGACAACGATAGTATCTTGTAATAGGGGCCGGTGTGCCTGCCTCAGCCCAACTGCCAACTGCCGCCATCATGGCTAACCTCATTCGCTCTGCCAAGTCCGGTAATGACTGGACTCTCAATGGCATGTACTCATATCACATCAGCCTCAATCAACTGGATGCCCTTCCATTCTATGGCTTACAGGTAGACAAGGATAATAAAGCCCTTGGAAAGACTAACCATTTGGCACATCATAGGAGCTGCCACAACCCTTGGTTGATCCCGAGCTGCTAACCAATGCTGATGCTGGCGCTATGCAAAAGATCACCATGTAGAGTTGATCACTTACCTTGACCTTGCCATGATCTCTGAAAAGGACTGCCATGGATGATTTTGCCATCAAGCTTTTCAAGACTCTGGGTTATGTTCATCAAGAACAAGTGGCACGCACATGGATAGACCTCCCACTCCTTTGTGAGCTGGCAAGGGATCTGGACAGTTATAATATATTGTTGAATCATTAATAAGATATAATGGAAGTTACTTTATGAAATATTACTCACAGTTCAACTGCTTGTATAAAGCTGAGTCAAGTTGTTTGGATTTGGTCTAAGATAAGATAATGGCTTTACTAATAATCAGCTAGGTATTCGAAAGGGGGAAAACAAAAGGGTCTCACCTCAGATCTTGTAGCAGAGTCTGAGATGATATGTGGCAACCAGGCCTTCTTCATAAGTAAGTAAGAGAAGAGAACCAAAAAAAATTTCTGATGGTATATAGTTGTACACGGGCCACCCATACTTACATGCCTTCCTTTCTAGGCGCTTTGTACCAGCTTATCTCTTCACTCAACACTCTTAGTCCAACACCCCCCCTCAAGCTACACAAAGTCTGAGCGTAGCAGAAAAATGTTCTGCCTTTGCAGATGGTAAGGCCTTGGTGAGTGTGTCTGTGATCATGTCATCCATCGGGCAATAGATCACTTCAATCTTGCCTTGTTTGATTGTGTGATGTATGAAGTGTAGGCGTATGTCAATGTGTTTAGTTCTGGCATGGTACTGATTATCTTTTGACGGGGCTATTGCCAATTGATTATCGCAAAAATGGGTAGCATCAGGAAAAAGCCTTTTGCTATATAGCAGAGGGGTTTGTACATATGTGCAAATAAAGCCTATTATAGCACCTATAGCACTTATAGCACTATAAGAGCAACTATAGTACAATTCAAGTCCCTGTAGTACTTTAAGAGTAACTATAGTATGACCATACTTGTTGGAATTGTCAAGGTCAAAGCCTGGGCCTTGTTAGACAACATTGTGAAATTGAGTGTTGATATCCAAGGGCGGGCTGGTAGCTCAGTTGGTTAGAGCACCGCTGTAACAACCAAGAGTTAGTTACTCTGGCGCACACAGGAACACACTATAAAGAGAATGAAGAGGGAGTGGTTACCCTTTAAGATGCAGAGAGTTAGTTGGTATACAACAGGAGGACTCGCTGAGGAGTCTCCTGGATCTATTCGGGTATATATACTACTACAGGGTTATTTGTACATGTGTACTATACAGTTGATAGAGACAGTGGCTGATGATGTCATGGGGCCTAGCCCGCATGGCCAGCTCCACTGTGTGAGAGAGTTGTGTCTATAATAAGAAGAAATGCAGCATAGCGTGAGAAAGAGGAGTTTGAACAAAAGGGAAAGTGCTGCATGGCACAAATGTGAGAAAACTACAGTATAAAGTTAAAGAGGAGAATGAAAATTAAAGGTCCAAAACTTGTGTATTGTAACACTACCCCCCTCCTAAGGCTCGACTTCCAGGCTCGACCAAATACCGGAGGTAGTAGTTAAATTTTCGGGCATAGGTTGAAAAAGGGAATAAAATACATGCCTCTAAGCTTCCTAGGAGCCGAGGGATTCTTAGAATAAAATCCGCAAACAGTGTCGCGGGAATTGTCCAGATGGGCTTCTGGTTCCCACATTCTGTCCTCATCTCCATAGCCCTTCCATAGGACTAGGAACTCTAATTTTCCACGCTTCAAGCGTGCATCCACCACTTGTTTGACTTTGAACTCTTCTTCACCTTCCTGGGTGACTACAATTGGTCCGGGCCGGTCTACACGCTGTCCTGGCAGTGGCCCTTTGTAGGGTTTCACATGGCTAATATTGACCATGGGTACTACCCTCATTTGTTTTGGGAGTTCCAGCTCCACTGCATTGGGTTTGACTTCCTTAATCCAGTAAAGACCAATCCACTTTTTGGTCAGTTTTCTAGACTGCCGATCTTTTAATTTTAAGTGGTCGGTGTCTAACCAGACCAGGTTGCCGACCTTGTAGTCAGGGGCTTTAGAGTGTCTACGCTCTGCCCTGTCTTTCATCTGCTCTGCAGTTTTGAATAGTGCCTTGCACGTTTCGTCTAAGACAGACTTCATGTCTTTGGCCATGTTCTCAGCAGCCTCGTTCTTGCTTTTACCAGGTTCTACACCCATTCTGGGGAGGTACGATCTAGTAACCTCGAATGGTGCCTTTCCTGTAGCTGTGAGGCAACGATAAACTATAACAAGAACTAAACCTATCTCCTTCTGCACTTGCAGGGAGTAAGGGTCCAATGAGCTTGAGGTCAACAGACGCTAGAAATATAGCGAGTCGAGGACTTTGAGAGGTAAGCTTCAAAGGTTCTTGTTGAGGAGTAAAGCGGGTAAATTCAGTAATAGAAAGCTAAGGAGCTATACATGAATAGGTACGTCTTTATATAGAGAACTGTCTGTTCCTCAGACCGAAAGGAGAATATACGAAAAGTGGTCTGAGGAATTAATCAACCAATAGGAAAAAGGGAGAGTAACTATCGTACGACTTCTGACTTGATTAATCAGCAGGTGAGAGACTTGTACTAATAATAGAAGATTGTTACGCGTGGTCAGGAACCGTATCCTCATGATGAGGTACGATTCTAGATAAGGCGTTTATTAGTATTACCAGGCTTTACTAGGGCTTGGAGCTGGTTGGCGAGATGCCTACTACCAGTCCCTACCCAGTGTGCTGGCTAGCTGGGAGCGATGCCCAGTCTCTGATCTGTGATATAAAGTGGTAGCGATGGTTAAGAAAGCCTGTGAGGGCTATGAGAAGTAAGATGGCAAAGAATACCTCTAGCCCTAGAGCCAGAGGTGTAACGGGAAAAGCGTTTTGAGAACCAAGACATAACAAAGATAAGAAAATAGTAAAACGGTCCTTACAGTAGCCGACGACTGCTTGATATTGTATGAGAACTGGGCTATCTTTAGCCACTTGGCCCAATCCGTCTGCCTGTCATTAATAAATATACGGAGATATTGCTTCAACTCCTGGTTGAGTCTCTCCGTTTGTCCATCGGTTTGCGGATGGAACACTGTTGATAACTTAGGTTTGATGCCCAGCATCCGACATAATTCTTTCGTAAATTCGCTAGCGAATTGAGGTCCTCTATCGGAGATAACCGTTTCTGGCAACCCATGGATAGACCATACAAAATCTTTAAATAAGTCTGCCGTACCCGCGGCGGTAATAGTTTTATTGGTGGGTATGAATACCACTTCTTTGGAGAAGCAATCTACTACCACCATTACTGAATCGTACCCATTTGACCCGGGCAGATCCGTTGTGAAGTCCACCGATATATCCTGCCAGGGACCAGCTGGTATAGGATTTGGCATAAGTTTACCGGCCGGCGGTTGGTGAGAATTCTTAGCCATGGCACATCTCAGACAGGATTTTACGTATTCCTGTACGTCTTTGACCATGCCAGGCCACATGTAGTTTCTGGAGGTCAACTTCATTGTTCGTTGCCACCCAGGGTGCCCAGCCACTGGAGTGTCATGATGTCTATCTATTGCCTTGATCCTTGCGGACTCAGGCACATAGATGTTGTCTTTAAAGTGGAAGAGCCCGTCTTCCCATAAATAATTTTCATTGCCGTCAAGGCGCACCTTCTCTTCTGAGGAGATGTCTTTCTTGAATACTTCCAGAAGATTGGAATCCTGCCCAATTCTAACATTGGCCACCCTTGATTGGTCTATCAGGGTAACACCTTTGTTGTCATCTTCGATGCCAATGGCATGATCCTCTCTTCTGGATAAAGTGTCCGCTTTCCCCATAGAGCTTCCAGGCTTATGAATTAATTTATAATTAAACCTTGACAAGTATACCACATAGCGGGCCTGTCTCCGGTTCAAGTCTCGGGCCGTCATAAAATACTCTAGATTCTTATGATCGGTCCAGATTTCAAATTGGTGCCTAGCACCTTCTAAGTAGTGCTGCCAGTGCTCTAAAGCTTTAATGATGGCCAGCATCTCCTTATCATATATTTGATAGTTGCGCTCTGTAGGCGACAAACTTTGTGATAAATAGGCACAAGGCCTCCAAAGATTGTCAGGGCATTTAATTGACAAAACAGCCCCAGTAGCAAAATCAGAAGAGTCGGTTTCTAGCTGGAACTCTTTGTCTAATTCTGGAAATGCTAATATGGGCGCCGTTGTAAATGCCTGTTTAAGCTTATCAAAAGCTTCTTGTTCTTTGGCGCCCCAGTGCCAAACAATGTCCTTTTTAGTGAGATCGTTCAACGGTCTCGTGATTTTCGCGAAGTTTTCGATAAACCTTCGGTAGAAATTGCCTAATCCAAGGAAGGCCCTAACTCCTTTGACACGAGTAGGTTCTGGCCATTCCAAGATAGCTTGAACTTTCTCAGGGTCCATCCTGATTCCGTTCTGGCCTATGATCATACCGAGGAAGTCTACTTCCTTCACTTTAAAATTACATTTTTCGGGTTTGACGAATAGGTCCCGTTCCTGTAAGCGTTGAAGGACTTCTTGCGCGATCCTGTCATGCTCAGCCTCATCGTCCGACTTTGTAAATATTAACAAATTGTCAATGTAAATGACGACACAGTTTTCCATATCCGCAAAGATCTCGTTCATCATGCTCTGGAAGGTCGTCGGCGAATTGGTCAACCCAAAGAACATAACGAGGGGTTCAAAGGATCCTCAGTGGCACGTGAACGCGGCCTTCCAAGCATCTGTCTCTTTGATTTGTACGTTGTTGTACCCCCATCTGAGATCCATCTTTGTCAAGATCTTGGCACCAGCCAATTTGTCTACTAGCTGACTGATCAAAGGCAGCGGATACGCGTTTTTAACCGTGTGCTCATTCACATAACGATAGTCCATAATCATACGCTTCTTACCATCCTTTTTAGGAATGAAGAACACCGGGGACGTCATAGGGCTTTTAGAAGGTCTGATGTAACCCTTCCTAAGCTGTTCATCTATGAAACTTGAGACCTCATCTCTTTCTGGAGCAGAGAGGGGAATCATGTGTCCTTTTCTCGGTTTGAACGTGTCCTTCAAATCTATTGCATGGTCCCAAGGCTTAGCCTCTGGGAAGCGTTCTGATTTGTGTTTTGAAAAGACTTTCCAGAAGTCATGGTACTCGGGAGGTACCAGCCTCTTAATCTCTTCTTTGGGTTTTACCTCATCATCGTCATCGTCGATCTTTTCTAAAGATCTGAGCTCATAAACGTGACCAGCGTTTCTCTTTTCAATACGCTCATTTTGACGGACATGATTTGGTTTACCCAAGTTTACACACTCCTGAGGGCAACGTGACAATGTGACAACCCCTGTCTGCCAGTTGATCTCAGGATTGTGTTTAAATAGCCAGGTCCAGCCCAAGATTAAATTAATCTTCCCTAGTTGGGTAGCTTCAGCGGTGACTCGTTCTCTGTGTCCTTGGTATTCGACCACAAAAGAACATTTGTGCGTGATGCAGCCACCCACATTTGGCGTACCGTCAATGTTATAGACGGGAATAGATACATCTAACTTTACAAGGGGGAGTCCAATTTGCTCCGCCCAGACCTGATCTATGAAAATACCGTCAGCGCCTGAATCAAGCAGTGTGCTGGTTGGGTGTACTATGCCTTGGGCAAGGTTTTCCACACCAACATCTAAACAGATCTCTTTTTGGAATAAATATGTGCGCATCAACACATGCTTTGGGATTTTGGGAAAGGGTGGCTCCAAAGAAGAAGGAAGGGTATCAAAAGTTATATGTTTTTCTATTTTATTTTTACCAGAATTAAGCACCCTATTGTTTGTCTCGCCGGGGCCACGCTCTAAGGGAGACGCCGGTGCAGCGGTAGTATCATTTATGTTACAATCACATTGCTTCATACAAGTACATACTTCAGATAATAAATTTAAAAATCTATTTACAAATTGGGGAGCCATCCCCGTCTTTCCTTTATTGCTCATGCAACACCCCGGAGCAGGGGCCACCTTGTTGTGGTTTACTTCATTGTTCGTAGGAGCGAAGGCACCCAAGCAACCTAAGCTCTGAACTCTTTTCCCTGGGCCTTCATTTCATTGACCTGTTGGTCATAGAAGAAAGCCCGGATTTCGTTGTACGAACAACCAGCCAGAGTATTGAGCCGATCGTCTGGCTTTTCAGCTTCTAGTTGGCGCGCCTGGCACCCTTGATTTTTTTGTTGAGCGGCCTGTGCTCCATTTGTACACTTTCGGGCTATGTGCCCCTCCTGCCCACAGTTGTAGCAGGTAAATCTGCGCGTCTGTCCGCCCTGGACCGCACCGATATCCATCGGGGCACCCCGACCTGGTTGCAGCCTGAACGGCTGAAACCCGTGAGAGTGTTGTTGTTTTTGGTTTGATAACCCAGGGCGCCTCTGGGATTCATTGTTTTTGGTGGTGGACCCGCCACCTTGGTGCATTTGATAAAGCTCCATGGCTCTACCGATTCGTCGTACTTCCTCAGCTGCCAGGGCCAAGTTCTCGTTTCTTGTATCTTGCAGGTAGATCTGTTCTGCAATACGAGGGTTCACATTGCGTTCCAGCAGTTCTACTGCATGTTCATTTCCAAGCCCTCCTTGGATGGAAAGGGCCAGGAACTGGGTAACGTAATCATCTGTCCTTATGTTTCCTTGTTTGAAGGAACAGATTTGCTGATGCGCCCAGTCACGCTCAGCTTGCGGTTTGAAATATTTTTTGATCTCTTTCTTGAGATCGTCCCAGGTTGGCCACACTCCCACGGTGTAGCATTCCTGCAATCTTACTTGGGCGTATCAACCCGCCACAGGTCCTTTTAGTCGAGATAGCACCGCAGTGGCTACCTCAAAATTGTCAGCAAATGCGTCCCAGTTTGCCTTGACCCAAATCTGGAGCTTGATCCACCATTCGGCGAATCACACTCTGTCTCCTTCAAAGGCGCCAGGGTCAGTGACAACTTCGACCTTTTTGTTGAACTTTTTCTCGACCGAGGGGGTTGCCGCAGGGGGGTTGTTCTGCAGCTCGGCGAGTTGCGAGGTTAACATAGCAATCTGTGCACGCATGGCATGCAGCAGACTGTTCATATCTTGTTGCAATGACATGTCGACTTGTTCTCTTGGTAAAGTAAAAAAAACGTAACTGGGGGTCCCCGCTTGCTATCTGCAGATCTACCTCTTCCCAGCTGAGTATTGGATCTCAATCTCTGACTACCCACACTATAGTATTTGAAAAGTATATAAAAATTATAGTATTAAACCCTGGTCCGAACGGTTGTCAGGGGGTGGTCCACTTGTTAAGCTGTCAACCCTTCTCCAACTGGCGGAGGCAAGTGCCCGGCCCAGTCAGAGGTATTCAAAGAAGAAGTTTTGTATTTTAATTCTAATCAACAGCGGTTCCACAACAACTGCTGAGCTAAGTACTCCCCTTAACGCTGGGGGCCGCGTATCAAAGGTTTTGGGTTCTTCTCCCAAAGCACTACAAGGCCGTCGCAAAGAGTGCACCTATCTGCTATGTGGGATATTCCTAACCACTAACCAATCTCCTTCGCCCTGGAGTCCGGGTGCCCAGTGGGACTTTTTGCACAAATGTGCGAGAGAGTAGAAGAGCGAGTCCTAATGTAACAACCAAGAGTTAGTTACTCCGGCGCACACAGGAACACACTATAGAGAAAATGAAGAGGGAGTGGTTACCCCTTAGAATGCAGTGAGTTAGTTGGTATACAACAGGAGGACTCGCTGAGGAGTCTCCTGGATCTATTGGGGTATATATACTACAGGTTTGTTTGTACATGTGTACTATACAGTTGATGGAGGCAGTGGCTGATGATGTCATGGGGCACAGCCTGTGTGACCAGCTCTACTGCGTGAGAGATTTGTAGCTATAAATAAAGAAAAGCAGTGCGGCGCGAGAAAGTAAAAGTCTGAACAAAAGGGAAGTGCCGTGTGGCTTGAGTGCGTGAGAACTCTTTGAGAAAAGAAAGTTAGGACGGAGAAAAGAAGTTTGTAAGTCCGAAAATTGTGTATCGTAACACTCCTTGGGATCCATAAGGTCCTTGCACCAGTTCACCATATGCTTAAAGACACCTTGGTATAGTTGATGGAGAATGTTGGGGGAAACAGATAAATGAATGTCGCAATGAGGGAAGTTAAGCCAGAATGGCTCGTAAACACCACCGGAGACATTGTTATCCTTGCATCTCTCTTGGAATTGATTGAAGGAATCTGTGTTAGCTCTAGCATTCTGAATGACTTCTTCTGTCCAGTTCTGTGTACGTGGCTCTCCAGGAGTAGATTCTGAAAGCTCAAAAGCAGGCCTTTTGCATTTGGGACAAGTGCCGTACTTTGTACATGTCACTAGACATTGTTCTGCATAATCTGCAATGTAGCAAGCCAAAACAGGATGAACTCTCCTAACAGCCCCATCACCCCCAGTGATGTCCATCCCTTCAATGCCAGCCTTCTTCAAAGGTTCTAGTATAACGCTCATAGACTCATGGAATAGACGCTGAACTCTTGATGACTTTGCTTTTGCTGTAAGCTGAGATCCCCTAACTTTATTGACGGACAGATATCCTATGAGAATGCAAGCATGTTGGCTTGGCTTGCGTCTTATGGCTCTGGGTATGCTTCCCAATATGAGATAGACAGGATAAGCTGATTTAGAGTCGGAGAATTGTGTGCGCTGGGTTTTGTCTGTTGCAATGATAACAGGCGCCAAGGCTGCCCCAGATGGTAGACGAGCCTATTCCAAAGATCATATAAGTCAATGTAGAAGATTCACACAGGCCATGCTCACCTGAATAGCATGCCACCACTTCCCTGTCCACATCTCATGGTATATGCTTGAATCTCTACTTGCATCTGTAAAAACCTTATTGGGACAATAGACTATATTTTCAGCATGGGCTGGATTTCCCAGGAGAGTTCTGATAGCTGACAGTACATCACGGTACTGGATTAGGTGTGTGTTGTCAGGAGTATCCAGAAAAGAGATCATAGTTGATTTCCATTCAGCCCTGGCTGGTATGTTGTTGTCGACAATCTTGTGTAATGCACATATATTATGATATGACAAGCCAAGCTTCTCCTTGACCTGGGAAAAAGTATGAGCAAAGTACAGAGAAATTGTGAAATCACTGACACCTGGAATACTTAGCAGTTGATCAAATGACTGATGCCCTATACCATCTTAAATTGCCCAGCAGGCTACCCTCCAATCCATCTCTGAGGCAAAGGGAAAGAACTTGGGATCTGGATCTTCACCCATTTCTACGTTTTCACCTCTATCTCCACCTCCACCTGCCCTAAAAAATTCTCTTCTCCATCTTTGATGTAAAGTCTCATCCATACTTATGACCTTGCCAGCAGTGGGATGTTTCACCTCTATACGTTCATCCTCATCATCATCTAAGATAATTTAGTTTGGATGAAGGGATGGGCTTGCTATGTTCTGCTTGTCTTCTATAATATCAGGAGGCTGGATGGGAACAAAGGAAAATACATCAGGAAAAATGGGGGTAGCTATATAGAGCTCTATAGCACGATAAGTACTCATAAAGCTGTTATAGTGGTCAAACCTGTTATAGAACCTCTGCCATCTATAGAGCCTCATATAGCTCTATAAATGCTCTTATAGATGTTGGAAATTGTTGTGTGGCTGATAAAAAAAATTAACACAGTCAGGATTTGAACTCTCAACCTGCTAGTCAGCTTTTGGGTGACTAAGCAACCTATCACCACACACCACATTTATCCACTACACCATGAGAGCTTATAAAATATATCATACAGGTGTTATATATTGACCTTTCATGGACTTAGATTATTTTTTTACTCATTGTCACTACTTATATTTGGATAAATCATTTTTCTTATTTTATAAATATCAAAGATACAAACTACTATCTCACTAATACAGGCTATATAATTAATTAATACTGTATGATTTATTAGCCCTTTTAAGCACCTTGAACTATATTATAACTATGACCTTCACAGCTATAGGAGCTACCTAGGCTGCTATAGGCTATAAGAGTACTTATAGTACCTTGCTTATAATAATATACTTGACTCCAAATACTTTTGGCCTCTTTCTATTATTGAACAAGTTTATTAGATTAATCCAGAGTTTGAGGGAATTATAGATACTTCTCCCCTAAGTTAAGATTTTGCCTACTACTATGCTATAAGAGCTATAAGAGCTATGATTGCACTGATAGTACTATAGTTTCTATGAATGCATTTATATATATAGGTGGTGGCTATATAGCGCTATATAGCAAAAGGGTTTTTCCTGATGTAGGTCTTTTTGCAGCTCCTGTAGTACATCTCCAGTTGTCTCCTCCTCCCCATCATCATCTATCAACATGTCTAATCCACTGGCTTCTTCAAGATCTTCTTCTGACTGTGGGATAGTGAGTGCTTGTAGCTTCCCTTTGTGGTACCATAGACATTTGTTTGCAGAGCCAAGATGGGCATTGACAGCATAAGCTGTTGCAAATGACTTTCCACATCCAGCAGGACACATGTGAGGAGCATCTCTGTTGACTAATGCTGCACAATGTATAGGCAAGGACATAATGTGCACTTGTATGGATTTAGTAGAAAGCAAGTCTAGAATGGACATGGTGCTCACTGATAATCTGTGAAGAAAGTGTTATCAATAGACCTTACTATTTGTGGCAATACAGTGATAGTCAAAAGCGTCAATTCTTGTGCTGCGCGAAGTATAGAAGTACAGAGTAACAAAAATATGGTATTACATGGACAAAAGCAATGGAACATTCTACAAGTACCAGTTTACAAAGCGCAACATTGGCGTTTGTGATTACGAGTGTCAGGGAGACTAAATATGTAAGCAGTCAGAGCACTCTCTCTCCTCTTGAGAGCATTAAGAGCCAGAGTGCGTGCACGAGTTGACCCCAAAAGATCAGACAAAGTTGATTTAGAATGCTTGGCTAATGTGGAATACCTAGGTATGCTCCCCCCACTACCGGCCCCTGCAACATGCAACATTACAAGCGGGGGAGAAAGGAACTTGAATTTATCGTCACTTGAGCACCATAGATCCAAGTGTGGTGTAAAAAGTATGTGAGGGGTAAACATAGTAAACCCTGGTCCAAACGGTGTCATGCACCAAAGCTGATTGGTAGCATAGACAGGTGTCAATAACAAAGTGAATATTCAAAAAGACTCGCCTTTGCGCCACACAGACACAGTGCCATGTGGAATAGTAATTAATATTGCATTTTTTGAACTTGTGGCTGATCAGCACCACCTCTATTAGGCAATCCAGTCATGCTCACCTTTGCTTTTCCATTCGGTACTTCGGCATTTTGGCAAATTTTCATGTCGCCACTGGCTACACATTGCATTCCGCCCTCGCTTTTGTCGTTTCCCTTACTCCCCTTCCTTTGCCTAGCCCCACCATGGGCCCCTTCCTCTCCTTTTTATTCTCACCTGACGGTCGTTCCTGGATCCCCATTCTAATCCACTTTTTCGTCACCTCCACCCTCCTCCTCCTCATCTTATTTGCACCCCCACCATTTCTGATGTTGTTACGCACAAAGTGCTTAACAAAGTCTGAGGGTTCGTCGGGTTTGTTCAAAGAGACTTATCCGAAGACAAGTTCGAGGATGTAATTCTGAATAGAGGGATTCCAACGGTTGTTGGTCTTCTTCCGTATGGAAGTCTGATCTTGGAAGTTCTAGCTTTGTAAGCGTGAACTGTGTAGAATCGTATTGGAGAATACTACTACTGTTACAAGCGTATTTATAGAGAAGTAAGTCGGCGATAGGAGTTACGTCCTATCTAGGGTAGGTCTGTCCGTTGAGGACTGAGTACTATACAAAGTAATAGAAATGCGAGAGGAGCGGAAGTGTACGTGAGGGATGTGAGTCATCGGTCTGATGGTATAACCGATGAGTAAAGAGAAATGAGTAGTCCGTAATATAGATAGACAAATCATAACATTACCCCCTTACTTGCTTCGAATTTCACCGAAATTCGGTACCCTCGCCATCCATGTTGTAGCTGTCGTCGTAGCTGACATCTCCATGTAATCCCTCCATCAGAATCCTGTCTTCGTTTTCCCTATGAATAGGGCACCAATTGAAACTATGCCCTGGTGCGCGTCTATCGCAGTCGGGGCAGTAGTAAGCTTCGCAGTAATATGTACGATGATCACTCCAACCGCAGTTTTGACAGTAAGGAGCGTTGTCGCGAACGCCTTGGTGGTACTTTCGTCGGGTATTGGACGAGGTGTCGGATTTGGGAGTGGGGGGATCGTCATCTCCCAGGTTGTACGTTCCCGCGTACAATTGGTCGATCATGTCGGCGTCATCTACGTTGATTGGATTGGAAGGGGAGCCGGTCTCAGGCCTGCGCGTTACGCCAGGCGGACTGTCTTTCGGACTCTTCGACGTACGAGATCACCGATTCGATGGAGTTCTGACGGCGGGGATCTGGAGTATCACTTCTTGTCGGCCTAGGCGGGCTCCTCATCGTTTCGTCAGGCGACGGGTTTGGGCGTTTGGTACCGGTCGAGGCGGAGGTGACTGCGGTGGTAGTGGTTCTGGGTTCGACCCAGTGGAACGGGGACTGGAGGGGTTCGACCCTTGTGAGGTCGGGCTGGTTGGGACGGTGGGAATGTATTTTTCCGCTAACTGGGTGGGCGGAGGTTGTGGGGTAGCGGTGGGGTAGGTGAGCTCCGGGGTAACACTGATCTGATCTGGGTGTAATGGGGACCGGCGGGACAAACCGGGTGGAGGAGTACTTGTATAGCCGTCTCGCTCTATCCGCGTGCGCGCTTCGGTTAGCAAGATCTTCCCGCCTAATTCCAAATATGCCTTTGCCGCGTCCGTCTGCCCACTCAAGGAGTTCATCCTCAAGCGTCGTTCCAAAGATTCCAAAACTAACTTTTCCATCCGGAGTGCCCGACAGATACTCGAGTCCTGATTGTTGTGCCGCAAATGCTTGTTTTCCAACGAATGTAGTGAGTCTATGGCTTTTAGGAGTTCGTCAGCCACGAGGTCTATGTTAAGGAAGGTGTATAGGGAAGAAAGAGCGTGGTACGCATCGGGATAGCGTTTTTCTGTTTCACGAAATAGATAGACGTGGGCGTTTTTGGCTGACATTAATTCTATGGCGTCAGAGACGTCAGCCTGGTTGTGTCGTTGCCCTCGGGCAAAGGACACTCGTTCGTCGGCTAGCATGTTGGCTTCGCCGGGTACAGAGTAGGTGGTGATGGGGAAGCCGGTAGAGTGAGAAGTAGACATGTTGTGTGTTTTGAGAGACAGAGGATTGGTGGTGGTGGGGGTGGTTGTCTCTTCAACGCAGTTTGTGATCTCTCTTATAGGCTTCCAGTATCTCCGCAGCATTGGTCAGGTGTTCTTCTGGTTCCCATGAGTTTTCGGAATGAGGGTAATGGCGCCATTTGATCAGGTAACGGCGTCCGCGTTTCCAGGGTTTGTGTCTAAGAATACTTTCTACTTCATATTCTTCTTCTTCGTTGATAAGGTCAGGTGGTGGTCGGATAAAGTTCGGTCCGTGAGTGTCGGTTTCGGTATACGGGGTTAAGAGGGATGCGTGGAAAACGTTGTGTATCCTCCAATGGGGAGGTAACGATAATCGGTAGTTTACCGGAGAGATCTTTTCTTGGATGCGGAAAGGTCCAATGCGTTTCATGTTGAACTTCTTGTGTTCGGTGGCTTTTTCCCGCAGGTTGGTGTTTTCTAACCACACCTTTTGTCCTTCTGAGAATCTGGTGAACTTTCCGTTCGTTCGTTTCATCATCTTGCTTCTCGCTAGTTCGTGTGCTTTTAGAGCGTTCTCTCTTGTCCTAAGTAGTTCGGATAATCGTTTTTCTACTGACGGGATGTTTGTGGATCGGTGTTTAGTCGGGATTCCTCGGGGTTCGTATCCCATGAGGAGGTAGAATGGCGATTGGTTATTTGTGGAGTGTGGCCGTTGGTTGTGGCAGAATTCGGCCGTCGTAAGGTATTTTGCCCAACTGTGTGGTTGATTCTGGCAAAAGATGCGGAGGTAGATCTCTAGTTCTTGATTGGATCGTTCTGTTTGTCCGTCAGTCTGTGGATGGTATGCCGTGGAGAGTGCGGTTTTGATGTTTAGGAGTTTGTGGAGTTCTTTTGATACTTCAGAGGCGAATTGTGGGCCTCTGTCGGATATGATTTTGTCGTGTAGTCCAAACCGTTTGAAGACAGAGTCATGGAAGATTTGTGCAGTTTCGAGTGCGTCGATGGTTTTGTGGCAAGGTGAGAGGATTACCCCCTTACTAAGTCCTTGGTCTACCACGACCATTATACTGTCATACCCTATAGACTCGGGTAAGTCTGTAATGAAATCCACCGAGAGATACTTCATCGGTTCACTGGTCTTCGGTGTTTGATTCGGGATCAACGGTACCGTGGCCGGATGCGTGTTTACTTTGGCTTGCTGGCAAGTTGTGCATCCTTTCACGTATTCCTCTACCTGTTTCATCATTCCTGGCCACCAATAGGACTTTTTTATTAGTTGATAGGTTTTTAGTCTTCCTGGGTGTCCTGCGGTTAGCGAGTCGTGGTGATTTTTGATGATCGTTCTCTGTTCTTCTGCAGTGTCGATCAGTAGTTTGTTCTGATAGAAGAACTGTCCTTCCGCTTTGTGCCAATCTTCCTTTTTCGTTCTTCCAGGGTAGTTGTCGTTGGTGAGCATTGCTTGCTCTATTGTGTCTTTTATTGTTCTCGTGTGATACAGAAACACCGACGCTGGTATCATTGGGGTGTCGTCGTCGTCATCCGTGTTATCGATGTACAAGTCGGGTCGTCTCGAGAGTGCGTCAGGTACCACCATGTGGGTTCCGGGTACGTGCTCTAATGTGTAATTGTATTGTGACAGTTCTAGCTGCCACCTTCGTTGTCGTGGTGTGAGTTTTCTGGCCTCCTGCCAGTACGTCAGGTTCTTGTGATCCGTTAGGATTTGGATCGTGTGTGGGCTTCCTAAAAGCAGGTGTTTCCACTCCTTCAGAGCTCTTATTACCGCTAAAAGTTCCTTGTCGTAGATCTGGTAGTTTTTCTCTGCGGGGGATAGGGTTTTCGAGAAAAATGCGCACGGGTGCCATTGTCCTTGATCATCTGGTTGCATTAACACAGCTCCGGTGGCGTGTTTGCTCGCGTCCGCTGCTATCTTCGACGGTTTCGAGGAATCGGGGATTTGGGTTACAGGGGATTTGAGGAATCTTTGTTTCAATAGTTTGAAAGCGTCATCTTCGATTTTCGTCCAGTTCCACTTTTTGTCTTTTTCTAGCAAGGCATTTAGGGGTCGGGCTAGGTCAGAGTAATGGCCTATAAACTTTCTGTAGAAGTTTCCGTAACCTAAGAACTTCCGTACGCCTTTGGTGTCTTTCGGGGTTGGCCAATCGCGTATCCCTGCGAGTTTGGCTGGGTCCATGGATACCTGGTTGTGGGAAACAATCATTCCCAAGTATTCGATGGTCTCCGCCTCAAAGGTACATTTTTCAAGTTTCAGGAATAAGTCGTTTTCTCGTAGCCTTTGTAGAACTTGTTTTGTCCGGATGCGGAGTCTTTCAACCTGGGTGTCAAAGATGAGGATGTCGTCCATGTATATGAT